TTCTCAAATAAGAATCATGTCTATTTTAGAAGCGTTCTAATTATCGAGCGATCACTGTAATGCAGTATCAAAGACAAGGCATATCTATGGCTACATGCTAGTAATTTGATTGTTCAGCTCGAGTGGTCATCATCATCGTCATCATCATCATCATCTTCGCCTCCATCATCATCATCATCATTCGTCGTCGTCGCTTAATTGAAAATCAACTCAATTTACGGCTGGAACATTTACATTTACGCACAGCTCTTAAGCATGACAAGCTTCAAGCTCGACTTGATTGAGTCAGGTCAAAAGAATTTAAATGGACACACAGTGTAACAATATCTGAAAGATCTGGGAGAGCAGCTCTCAAACGGAAGCCTGAGCATGCATATTTCAACGATCCAAGCAACTTCTCGGCATTTGTTGACATTTGCATAAATTGCGTCTTCAAGTGGATTTCGGGCGTTGGTCATTAAAAGAACGTGCCTAAGCCGAGCTCCGTTCAACGTAGTCTCAATTGAGATTGTGGCAAGTTGTTTTCCTGGTCCGTAATTAGACAGACAACAGCTAATTCGAATTGAAAGAAAGACACACAAGACTTGAGCAAAAGATGTACAGAAACCTCAGATAAACTCAGGAAGTGAACAATTTGCGAAATGACAGTTCGTTTTTGCCAAACAAGCTGACTTCAACAACTTTAATGTTTAAACAACTAAAAGCCTTTGCGGATAAAACATTTAAATTTGTAGCCATACAAGAATCAGGGATAGATAGATATCTTATTTTTTATCAAGTTGATCAAATGTGCAGATGATTATTGAAAACATTTATACAATTTATTTACAATTTTGTCACAATATGTTTAAAACATTGAAGGAGACATCTGTAACCCCATAAAGTATTTAAGTTTATGCTAAGTAAATAAATTTATGACTTACTCTGCTTAGTGAAACTTTGCATAGGACAATCTGTTGACGTCATGTGCCTGAGTCGAGCGGATCGGGTAACTATAGCATATAGCTGCCATGAGTGGTATCAGTAGTATCAGAGTTCTTCTTTGTTCTCAAAATATCTTGATCAAACTTAACAATTTAAGTCTATCCTAAGCAAAATCTTGCTTTGATTGGACTACTCTCTGGACTTTAAGGCGAAAGGACAAAGTTTTTTTGCATGACATATGTCTGCAAGTGTATTTATAGTTCGGCGCGAACCCGTGCTATCTGGTCTGCCATATTCTTTTGCAATGATTTAGTAGGTAATTGGGCGCAGATATAAAATGTATGTTCGAGACCTGTTGCCATACACTTGTGTGTAATTATCATTACCGCACTGACAAGTTGATTGTGTCATTGTTGTATTTAATTGTGCACAAAATAATATAAGTAATATAAGCGCAAAACAAACAACAATGGCAACAATAACTCTTGGCTAGCAACGAGCTACCAAAAAGAGTTGGCCAACTAACGTGGACGTTGGCCGGAATGAATGTTGAAAAGCAACGAATGGCATTTAAGGCGCTGACCTTACGAGAACTACCATCTTAGGAATATGTTTTTATATAGAATGTGTGCACGTATAAAGTGCATAAATATATATGTATATACATATATATAGCCAAGTACGGTAGCTGCCAAATGTACTCAAACAAAAAATGAACTTAACATAAAAGAAAGTTTAAACATTTAATTTGTACGAAAAGTAAATCAAGATAAATGCCAAACAATGAGAGTAAAAGTGGCACGCAATTCGACCAGAATGTATTGTTGTAAATAAACCAAAAAAAATCGATTTTTTGTATTGTTTGGCCACAAGACTTGCAACCTAAGCAAGAGGCAGTTGTGGCCAGCTACGTGAGTGAAGGTATTAACCGAGATTTGCATAAAAAAAAAGGTGGAGGAACCCCCCTTGGTAAAAAGAGAAACAATCTAAAAGCGTGAAGCTAGCACCTTCGTATCTGAGTTAATACGTGAGATTTTGATAAAACTGACGCTTAGATAAAGTCAACATTTAGACACTAAACGGCAAACACAGGCAACAATACGACAAAACATGACACAAAAGACAAAAGGTTGAGCAAAAACTACTTTGCTGATAACTGAAGTGTGCCGCCGAGTGGAGGACAAGTGCTACAAGACCCAAACCCAAACCCAAGCCCCACGAGCTGAGACGGAGACCTGGAGGCACGTGCACACCAGCAAAGGGCAGTAGAGTAGCAGGCGCACTTGAAAGCCTTAACTAGTTATGGCTAGTGTTCAAAGTGCAGGCTAACAAATACCCTGTAATCGCATGTTATCAACAAATCCAATAGAAATATACGCTGCTTACTATTCAAATCGAAGCATTTTATAAATATTAAATAGGGTTTGGTTCGGGCGGAAGTTAGTTCTTAGCAACACCTCCATATTGTTCATATAAAAAAGTATTTATCTATATATAGTTGAACTTATTTAACACTCAAAATTTAGCTTATCTGTTCATGGGAATAGGTATAATACATATGTATAATATTATATATATATTTATATTTGTGGCAGACTTCTTAAGTGTTCTATTATTATTAAAATGGCAAGTTAATGACATTAATAAATTCTTTATATAAACATTTCAGAGCTATTAAAAAAGTGATTTATTTGACTAAGAAGTCACGATGAATTTAATTGACAAAGCTGAACAGAATTGATTTAATTAAATAAGAATTCAAATTAGAGTTAACTATTTGAGGGATTTGAAAAAGTTAAAGTAAAACACAAATATATTTAAAAATTGATTGACAATTGAAGTATATTTAATATGAAATAAAGATTAAAATTAAATTTGTTTAACTTGGTAAAATGCACAAATTTAACAATTTAAATACTTTAAATACACATTTGTATTTCAATTAAATTCATTGATTTATATTTAATCGAAAAAAGCTCTAAAGATCTATATTTTACAGCCCTGATATATTCGCCTACCACCACAGAGAACAAGAAGAAGATCAACAGCTGAAAGCTGGTTTTACAAGCTCAAGGTTGTTTAACCCCAGCAATAACAGCTTTACACTGGTTAAATATAGAGAAGATCGTTTAAATTCGTATCTTTATCGCCAACTTACACCATAAAAAAAACTATGTGCCACCCATTGCTGAAATTATCTTCAGTTGTTGCACGCTAATTAATTTACTGTTATGTTTAAATTCTATTTGCTGGCGAAACTCTGACTTTTTGATTAGCTGCCGCTGCACATGAAGTTTGCCCCACTGTGCGCAAGCTCTCTGAACTTGATTGGTAACTTGTTTTCTTATTTCTTCAACGTGTATTTGTTTCCTTTGTGCAAAACTGAATTTTGATTAGTTCTTGCTACACATTGTGCATGCCGCAGAGCAGGGAGTTTCAATAGAATAACATTGGATATATGCATATACATATGTATGTATGTATGTATAGGGGAAGTCAGTCACAGACGGCGTACTCACCTTTTGACTCCAAGTTGTCAGCTGTGACGACAGCGATGTGTTGCAAGCATATGTTGAGCAATGGCAACAGCAACAGCAACGGCAGCAGCAGCGACAGCAGCCGTTGCAACTGTAAATGTAAATGTTGATGCGAAAGCAGCCGAGGCATTTTCCACGCGTTGTCTTAAGAATCCAGAGCAATAGCAATAATGTTACACGCGGCTATGTGGCTGTTGCTTTTATATTTGTATGTGTAAAGTGGCGGCAGTAATAGTAAAATTTGTTCTTGTCGGCTGCAGCGGCAGGCAAATGCGATGACATCACTTCCACTTCCCGTGTCAGCGACTCTGGTGGGGATGCAGCGGCGAGGATGAGGCGGACTTAAATGCTGCCATCATTTGACACTGTGTCTACCAATTGGACTTGTATTAAAAACAGGATGCACCGCAGCAATTCACAACACTCAGCGAGACCAACAACAACAACAACAACAACAACAACTGAAAGCACTTGGGGCACAAGCACACACACACACACGTACGCACTCCCGGCGTGCTTAAGTGTAAACAAAAGCTGATACCTTTATTTGAATGTGAAAAAAATTATAACGGCATTGATGTTTGTGCTTTGGTATGGGTTTCGCTTTGGCTGTTGCCAGCTCTTATATTCGCATTTGCTTTTCAATTAATCGTTTGTTGTGTCTGACATATAATATATTATTAAATTAACTAATTTCGCTAATTTTTGTATTTGAATTGTTGGCCATTAATTCAATTTTTTAAACACTATTTGCTGTTTTGCACAGACACACGCAAACACTACACTCGCAAGCGCATATATATGTACATAGAAGCTCTAAAATACAGCTGGGCTACGCGCTGACACAACAATCTGAACTAAAAACAACCGTGACTAAGACCTCGCACGACGAGAGTTGCAATGAAACTGACGAAAGTCGTTGGTAAAGAATACAAAAAAACAAGACTAACAATAACCAGGGCCGAATACATATCGATATGTCGATACATTTTGGCGATGGTCTGTTCAACAGACTTTTTGCGATATAACATACGATAACTTTACATTTTCTTAATTACTGTACTGTTAAACGGATATCGTAATGTTACACGCATCAGTCAGCTTTTTGTCATGTGAAATAGTATTAACCGCGCGTTTGAATGTGCATTAAATTATTTATTTACGCTGACTTGTCTATGATTATTTAAGACAAATTAACCTTGAATCAGTCAATATGAACAAATTGTTGTAAATTGTATTAAAACTGTGTATATTATGCAAAAATATAAAATATAATATTAAATATATATAATATAATATATTTATAAGAAAATAAAATTTTAATAACGTATTTTAATATTGCCTCTCTAATCTATTTTATGACTTCGCCATCTCGCATACGCTTTCTCATGTTCGTATCTCTTTCTCACTCTCGCTGTGTCAGAGTCATTTTCGAATGTCACCTTTCTATGCGATTTTCATAAATTTTCAATTGATGCTAACAGATTTAGAATCTGTGCGATTCCTTTGTTTACGAGCTAAAATTGATATACACTTAACTGTTTTTGGATATTTTTAGTGAAACAATAATATATAACAATTAAACAATATTCTTAAAAGTAGGCAATAAAATACTTGCATATACAACTTATACATATAGGATGAGCAAAGCTACACTAAACGGCCTATACATTACGATAAAAACTAGTTACTCTTGCCGTTTAGACGATCCTGGATCTGTTGCAGACTCAGGCCTTTGGTCTCCATCACGACAAACAGCACAAAGAAGAAGGCCACCACACAGAAGCCAGCAAAGAGCCAGAATGCATAGTAGGAGCCAAGTGCATCGAGCGCCGGATAATAGCGTGTGACCAGAAAGCCGAGAATCCAGCAGGTGCTGGCCACCACGGAGGATGCAGCTGATTTGATATTCGCTGGAAACATCTCGCCCAGCACCGCCCAGGGCAATGGACCGAAGCCCGTGCAGTAGACAATATTGTAGACGATCAATGCGGGCACCGGAAGCCAAACCACACTCGAAACGTCACCCACAACCAGCTGCATGTAGAAGAAGAAGCCCAAAGCTGCCAGACCGACGCTCATTACGCTGGCCGAGATGAGTAGCAATACCTTCCTGCCCAGGCGATCCGCTACGATGGGCGTAAGACCCGAGGAGCTGACCTGTACGCAACCAATAATAATGGTGGCTATGGCCGGATCCAGGCCAGTGTTGGCGCTGGCAAAGATCGACTGGCTGTTGAAGAGCACCACATTGATGCCGGACAGCTGCTGGAAGCTGATGAGACCGGCGCAAATGAACAAGGCCTTGCGATTGCTGGGATTCTTCACCAGATCCATGACAGTGCCCTTACTGGCCATGGCCTCCTCCACGTTGGCCTGTATGGACGCCATCTCGTCGTGCACACCCTCGGCGCTCTGGCCGCGCAGAAACTGCAGCGAACGCAGCGCATCCGTCTTGCGGCCCTTGCCGGCCAAGTAGTAGGGGCTCTCGGGCATGAAGAAGAACACCACATCCGAGATAATGGGCACCACGACGCAGCACCACTGCAGCGCCTGGTAGGAGACGAATGGACCGATGGCATAATCAAACAGAATGCCAGCTGTGGATGAGAACAGAGAGAGTTAGCCTTAAGAATAAAAGAGACATCCGCTTGGCTACTCACAAACAATGAAGAGCTGCATCAGTGAGCCGGTGGCGCCACGCACATTGTCAGTGGAAATCTCGCCCACGTACATCGGCTGCACGGTCATCACGAAGCCCACGCCGAAGCCCTGAACCAAGCGGGATAGATACAGGATCCACACCTCGGCCGCGACCATGTTGAGCAGAAAGGCGAGCACAAAGAATACGCTGCTGGAGAGCAGCACCCACTTGCGTCCAATGCGATCGGCCAATGGGCCGGCCACAAAGGGCGCCACCAGGGCGCCAATGGCGATTAGCGAAGATATCCAGGCATCCTCATCGGCCGTGATGGGCCTGCTCAAGGGCGAATCTGAAGTATCTTCGGCCTTCAGCTTGGGTCCAATGGGCGATGTCCAGCCCAGGCAGGTGCCCACAACAAACGCCGATAAGTTGGCTACAATTGGAGTTAACTTTGGAGTTTATTATGCTCCACGTACAGCATTAGCAGCCCAAACCCACCTGCCACAGCGGCCAAAAAGATGCGACCCGTTTTCACCGGTTCCATATTGCGCGATAGGCCGTCGCTTATCTGGAAGGAGCTTACTTCAGTGTAAGACTGTTCACGCTTGTCTCCCAACTGGCTCATTGCTGGCATCTGGCTTGCTCACGAGTAGCAGCTGCAAGATTAAAGCGTGCACACACATTAAAATCCGCACATGCGACAGTCGTTAACAAATTAATGAATGAACCATTTCAAATACAATGGCTGGAATAGAGCTAATAGTGCACATTAATTGCTTAACGATGCTCTTAAAGGGCTTCCACTCGCTGACCAGGACTGTGCTCCATTCGCTCAGCAATGAAACTGAATTCGTTCTATTGCGTATACGCCGCGTTGACTCACAACAAAATTCAACTTATTTACCGAAATCATTTCGTACATTTATGTATATTTGTTTTTTTTTGTTTTTACACATATCCACAGAAGTTAAATGTGCTTGTCTCTAGGCGCAATTTCCAAAAGCTATAATTGTGTAGTGTAAACAAAAGTAGCAAAAAAACGCATTTTAATGAAATCGAAATTGAAATGAAATTGAAATATGCGCACAGTTTTTGCCATATAAACAGCGAGCACTTTTAATGAGCCCAAGTCGTTAATTACAAAATTATTTTAATTTGCACTCTGGACAAAGCTAATGACAATTATTATTGTCTGTCCTATAGTTGACACATTCCATGGATTATGATTATTATGAAAATTATTATTATTATTATTATTGTTATTGTTATTATAATAATTATTATTATAATAATTATTATTATTATTTGTATTATTATTATTACGATATTCAAAAAAATGCTCTCAAATCAGTGCTGATCTTATTCTTACACTTGCTTTAAAACAGGTTTAACGTTATTTTGAATCCTTACTTGAAGGCGAACTAAATATAAACGAGCCGAAATGCGAACCGCAAGCCTTAAAGCTGAGAATTGGAATGCTGAAGCGTACAGCGAGCGGCACGAATTTAAAGGCTTTTTTCGGACCTGTATTAAAACCTTAAGTAAATACAATATCAATAATGCTCACCAGCACTTACACACTCACACACACACACGAACACGCACACAGTCTGTGAGAGGAAAATGTAAGAGCGCATTATCTTATCAGAAAAGCCGCAGCTCTATGGCACATCCATCTAGTACTCGATCATCGTTACGTTTGTCTGTTCTGTTCTGTTCTCGGATTCTCGGATCGATGCAAGCAACCAACTACTGTGAATTGTCATATTTTTTGAAATAAAATATTTTTGTTGTATGAATTGCGCCACTTGCATTTGTGCATTTTGCACTTGAACCGGCCCAAGCGATAAGGTTCTCGATTCTCATCCAATCTCAATTTGTTTGCACAGCTCGACCCACTTCAGCCGAAAGTCGCCAGTTCGATGAGGTGTGACAGGTCTAACAAGAATCAAATCTTCGAGTCCACTTTAGTTACAACAAATTCGTAATTTTTAACCAATTTCCGTTAATTGTTTACGCTACACTCGCCAATCGAATCCGTTCGAAGAATATATTACGAATGTGTTGACTTGATTTTGTCATAATAACACTCAATTCTATTATGTAATATATGTGCATACGTAAGTATATAGTTAGGGACTATCTATAGATATTGGCGAAGACCTGACAACATCTACGCCCATACTGGTTATTTGTATTAGATTAGACAAATGGTACGGGGAGGAGGTAGTTAGGTCAAGGTTTTCCACATAACTGTGCGTCAATTAAAGAAAAGATTGTCCGAGAATTTCGAATTGAAACACGTTAGTTTATAAATTGTTAGGGACAACATCCATGATTCACTGGTTACTGGTTATTTAAATTCGAGACGACTAATGGTACGGGGTAGACGTAGTTCGATCAAGGTTTTCCACATATACTATGCACTAGGTTAAGAAAAGCTGGTTGGAAAATTTTGAAAAGCAAAATGGGCTGCCTTTCTTATTAGATTACGACCTAGGTCACTACGAGAACTTCAAGAGATGTTTTTTTAGTGGCGCAGAGCGATTTATTAAATTAGATTAGAATTCCGGAACTCATGGCCCGCTCTGTCATCTAATTTGGTTAGAATTCCTAGAAACATCTCACCTAATCGGGTTCTTTCTTTTTCTTCCTTTCCATTTTGTGCATATGTAAGTTTACTAAGGTACATTCTACTGACTACCAGGAGACTAGTTCCAATAGTTCTTAAAAAGTCATAAAACATATTTATAATATGTAAGCCACTTCCTAGTCCACATATTTTGGCGCCTAATTTCAACTAGTATCAGCAAAGGTGTCACATTTTTGATAATAATTATAATAACAATAATAACAACTCGGCAAATATATGATTAGCCCTAAATAATTTGATAGGTGTCAGCATCTATTTTACCTAATATTATATGTGTGTCTGTCTGTGAGCGGACGCCAAAGTTTTTTTCTTTAGTGCAAATGAGGCGAGACAAAATATGTGTATGAACGGAAATTAATACGAGCAAGGAAAACAAGCACGCATATGTATGCATGTGTGTGTGTGTGCCAGGGCTGTGTGAATTTTAACAAACCAGACTGCCTGTTGCTGCTTAGATATTTTTATTTTCTTTGCTTTTGTTGTGTTAGCAACTGTAATACTGTTTATGGATGTGTTTGGCATGCCATCAATTGTCGCTTGTATTGGCGCAAAAGACTAACCATCGCGTTCGCAAATGGTTGTTAAATCTGGGTTCGAATCCTCCGCGCGGTGGTAACAAAAGAACATAATTTATAATAAATATCCGCGCTCTTTCATATGTACTTTTAAACTAAAATAACATTACAAGTAAAATATCGCAGTTAATTAAAGCAAGTGCGAAGCGAGAAGAAAAACACGGAATAATTGTCCATAAAAAGGGCTGTTTACTACTTTTAACGGCTTTAAGCAAAACACTTACATATATGTATTTGTTTTATGATATGTGTTATATTCGGTCGGTATCTGTTTAAAGGATGTTGTTTATATACAATTTTCACCCACGCAATGCCGGGTAATTTCTTCTAACAGTTTAGAACGTTTTCTAGTAAGTATATCAACTCTGACACATTGACACTAATTGGCAATCAAGAGTATTCGGCGAAAACTGATTGATAAGATGCCAACATATGGGCCACTGTCGTCGTACATTATTTCGAGCATGTCGCGAAATTCGGGCTTAATCAATATTTGTAGACATTCATTGATAAAATTCAATAAATCAGGCGACGGGCTACATGGAAGATGTAGCTGGATTTATTATTGCACATAAACATATGTATGTGCATATGTGTATATAGATAAACCGAGTGTCGCGTGTGTAGCAGCTGCCAAATAACAATTAATAAGCGACAGTGACGTAAAAAGCCGCACTCGCAGTGTTAATGGGAGAAAACTAGAGAAGGTTGACATGCGCAAGTGCTGACACTTTGCAAGCGCGCGCTTCTATGCGGCCTTTTTTTTACAATTACTATTCTTTTGGAAAACACTTATATGAAATGAATTCTTAACAAGTTAGAAGACTTTTTATACCCTGAACCTATTGACAAATAAAATTGTATAATAGTTTTGTGCTAATGTATGTAATCAGGCAGGAAGAAGAAAGTTCACCAGCTGAGTTGATCTAACGGTCCATATTTCAGTTTCGAACTTAGCACGCTCAGATTGAGTTTATTTTAAATCATCGATAGCTCCGAACGTTACCACGAAATCGATAACAATCGAATCGATATCCTTTTTGTTGACCATATCTCGGAGCTTATGAGAGCTAGGACAGTTAATTTTGTGTGAAGCGTTCCATATGGTATTCACATACATAGAATATTTCACTTTATGGGCAGTTTGACCCGTTACCATTAAATTTGGAGGAGGCTAATCTTGGGCTTGTGTACTTCATTCACACATATTTTGAAGTCAAATTTATGCACTAAGACTTCAGATAAGACATCTAATTCTATTCTTTAACTATTAAAATTTATATTTCAAGAAAAACTTAATAAAATGTATAGAGAAAAAAAACTAATTAAATTTTGTTGACTAAAATATTGAAAGTTTATTTAATTTCTAAAATTTGGATATTATATGAATTTAAATAAATTGATTTTTAAACTTAAAACTTTCATGTTGCATATGCCAAGTAATTTATACTCACAAAAAATAAAAACTGATTGAAAGGATGTTTAGTAAATTCCTAAATAAAATATTTGTTAAACACAACAAATATCTTGTGCCGCTGCAGAGCAACTAGAAGACCACTTGCTACGACGGCAAATCAAAACTGTTGACCACGTTAGGTACTAGTCCAGCGCTTGATCATGGCCCACAAAACGGAGCCGCATACTCAAATAAAGGTTACCGATTGCTATGCATTTTGATAATAATGTTTGGAGGGTCTATCGTAACGTTTCGTATCGCTTCGCCCAACAAAGTCACTGAGGAATTATGAACGTACTTAAAAAAGTTCAGCGTATTTAATCAGCACTCGAATAACAAAATCATTTCCATAGTAAATCAAAAACAATTTACAAAAAAAAAACCCAAATTACTCTTATGAAGTGTTGTTAATTTAATAGTTTTTTCAGTTAATATATGACTCACCCATTTTGCCAAAATAATCAATTAACACACAACAATAATTAATTTTTTGTTCAAACTTAGATAAATAATTAAAGGTTCGAGATGAGGTTCGGATAAGTATAGCCTTCCACTAGCTGGACACTGTGGATATATGTAACGTTGCAGCACTTAAGATCAGAGAGAACTGTCGTCTATCGTTGCCGGAACCCGAATGCTAGCTTTGCGCGAATGTTTTGACGATTTTGTGGGCCTATTTAAAATGTAAAAAAAATTGAGCCGAGAATTTATGACAGACGCATTCACAGTTCGTGTTTAGTTGAAGCAAATGCGAGTAAGATAATAAGCACAAATCTACTATATACGATCACTATGGAAAGTGCACATATGTGTTCACACATACACACACATGGAATGACTATTATATCGTTTTTTCGCCGAGCCAAACGATCGTTGAACTGAGCTGCGCTTCAAATTGTGCGATTTTTTATCATTCTGCCTTTTGTCCCATGTGAACTGACGAACAAATCAAAACAAGCAATAAAATATTCAATTACACTTAATGCAATATTATAATAACGAAACTAAACAAATGAATGGCAACAGTTTCTGAATTTTAATTTCTATTCCATCGACTTGTTCCGCACAATTCGTTGGAAAATTTCTTGATTAATCTCTTGCGACGCGCCAAAACAAAAAAAACGCTCAATCCAAACAGTTTGAGGAAGTTCATTGATATGCAACGGCCGGCTTACGGGGGATTGACTTATTTAGTCGGCGTGTCGCTACAGTTAAGCATTAAGCGAGACTCGTACAAATCTTAAGTATTGTAAATGTGCGTGCCTTTAAAACGCGTCAACTAATTAAAATGTCGCCGATGTAGGCACTCGGTATGTTTATTTCGATTCGTTTCTTTAAATGGAAATATATATATTTGCGTCATCAGACGACGCGCAGGCAATACCGCCCGGAATCAGAATCGTTTTTGGAATCGGTTACAGCACAAAATAAATGATACAAGACAAGTCGATTTATAAATATAAGCAAACGTGTTTATATTAAGAAGGAGGCTCGATTTGATGATGCCAAAGGAAGCCAATCGAATTTGAGGTCCGGTTCCGTTCACTGACGCGTGGCACCTTTTCATCTTTCAAACTGGTTTCCAGATTTCACTGGAGTACTCTGGTGAGTTGATTATCAAAGTTTAGTGACTTATTTTATTTTATTGCAACACATTGACTCGCTTAGAAATGATTCATTAGATTAAGAATCAGCAGTTGATTTTACTTTGTACATTTCTTTGGACTTCTCATTACATTCCCTGAGAGAGTACTCTTATTGGATTAAACTTAAAAGCGGCGCTTAGCTAGACTTTATGTTCCTAAGTGTCGAAAATCCAAAACAAAGGTATTATGCTATGCTTATACTTATAATTTACATGGAATAATCCTATGATTAAAATTCATCAACATAAATAATATGCTTAAAAGTACTTGTCCAAAAATTACACGCACTACCATTTGATTTATTGTCACTTATTAATACGAGATATATATCTCTAAAATACATTTAAGTATAGGTCAGAATAAGAACAGGATATTAAATATTTAAATTAAGAAAAAGAGACAGAAAGGGGCAAGAGAGTTAATTAGAACGAGACCTTGACAGAGATAAAGTGTATTTGATACACATTAGCAGCATTAATATCTTTGAGCCTTACTTGAATTTATGAGAATCGCATAGTACGGCGATTTTTAAAAAGAAGTTATTATTTCATTTGCAACGGGACAGGAAGTAAGCTTGGTTTTCCTTTAGTATAAGCGAATATAATATAGGCATATATACATTCTTGCTGTTAGTATAAGAGATCAGAAAAAACTCATATCTCCCGGGCATGTTTTTATCTTTAAATTCAAATTCACCCCTACTATTTTGAGTCCCCATTTGCATCCAGTTGAGTGAGTTCGCGAATTCAATCAATCACGTTGTAAAATAAAATAGGATTGAAGTTCGTCGGATGCCAGATAATAAGTTTGCATACAACCGTTTTTCACCAATTTCCCCGAAGCTCCGCCTTAATGTGCACTTACAGCACTTACTGTCAGTTGTAGTTTGCTGAGGCCTGTTTTGCATGTAAACAATATCTGACAGGAGCATGCCTGGCCCATTAGATATATATGCTAGTTCGGACAGCGAACTGTCAAGTGTTTAATAAATCAATCAATTTATTTGCCAGACACTCCGGCAACATTTACAATAAGCAGGCATATAAATATGATATCCAATGAGCCGTTATCTGCTGGCAATTTGTAGCTGGCTTAAATGGAATTATAGACACACTTACTACCAACAACAACAACAACAACAACAACAGCAATAAAAACAACCTGTTGCATATGTGAACAAGCAGCCGCTTTGGCTATAAGTGTTTGGACGGGGGCTCCCCTCCCAACTGGCGCTTCCTGACATCGTTGGTGGCAACAGGAAAATAAAATGTAGTTAAATATTTGCATACGACAAAAAGAGTGCTGGCAATTGAAAAGTGGAACAACAACAATAACAACAACAACAACAACAACGGCTGTAATTGACGCTACCTGGCATCGAATCAATTTGCGTCGGTGCGTCGGACTATCTATCTATCTATCTATCTATCTATCTATCAATTGGCGACCTTGCCAATGCCCGAAGGCCAAGTGCAGGGCCAACGGGAAGCGAACCGATTGCTAACGGCGCCAAATGTGGGCGTGGCCAGTAGGGCATCTCGTCGTATGACTGTGCACCGAATTAATTATGACAGCCGCTGCTGATTAGCCGCAAATTTAAAGGGGCGTTGCCGTCGCCAGGCGCCCAATGCAGCCCATCATCAGACCGGGCGATGGGTTATCGGACGGGTTCAAGCAACATAAGTATATATTTGAGTGGGTTCCTAATAATATATGTAATATATATATATATATATACACACACATTTATTTAAATATATACACATGTCTTAACAGCCGCACACTTAACACATACTACATATCAAATACATTAAGAAGACGACCAAAATAGCAAGGCAAATCTCTGGCTGGAGAAATTGTTCACAACATTTGGCTGAGTACTTAGAAAATAAATAAGTCTAAACTAATAAAACCATATGATAAATATTGTACATTCTGCGTGGCACACGGCGTATGCGTAATTTTGCCCATAGCATACAATTGACATCTTCTTCCTTTTGGCCTGGGCTCTCTTTAATGGCCGCTGAGCCACGTTTGTATTTGGCTGGAGGTTTTGCCCTTTGTTTCGACCACCGCAACAGCCACATAAACTGTGGCAACAGCCATGCAGGCGGCAAAGAACCAGAAGGTCATATCGGAGCCCCAGTCGGTGATCATGATGCCAAAGCATTTGGTCACCACAAACACGCACAGCCAATTGGCCATGACTGTGAGCGACACGGCGGTGGCTCGGACATCGGGCAGAAAGAGCTCGCCCATCATCAGCCATGGTATGGGACCATATCCCACAGAGAAGGTAATGATGAATAGCACCATGCACAGCAGCGGCAGCCAGCCGATATGTGACACATCCTTGCCGCTCTCCTTCATATCAAAGTAGGCGCCCAATATGGCCAGGCAAATGGTCATCACGGTGCTGCTGAAGAGCAGCAAAATCTTGCGGCCAGCGCGATCAATGAGCAGGGATGAGGTCAGGGTCATGATCACCTGCACCACGCCCACAATAATGGAGCATATTGAGGCATCCAAGCTGCTGCCGGCCGACTTGAATATGGATTCCGTGTAAAATATGACCGCATTGATGCCCGAAAACTGCTGGAAAAACATCAGCAAAATGGAGATGATGAGACCATTGCGGGCACCACGATTCGTAAACAGATCCAAGAACGTGGCATCCGCGCTCGCCTGATCCAAATCGTTTTGTATGACCTGAATGGCGCTGCGCGAATCGCAATAGCGGCCCCAGAGCCACTTGAGAGACAATGCCGCATCCGCACGACGACCCTGCGGTCAGAAAAAAACAATTAGATCCAATAAAGAAATGATGATGAACAATGCTCACCTTCTTTAGCAGATAGACGGGCGTCTCCGGCAGCATGAGCATGCCCACAAACAACGCAATTGGCACAAACAGGCACATTATGCTGAGTGTACTCCATGAGACCATGGCGCCCATTATATAAATGAAGAGTATGCCCACTGTGAGCAGCAGCTGGAAGAGTGTGCCAAGGGTACCGCGAATGCTCGTCTCAGCTATCTCCGAGATGTACATGGGTGCCACGACACAGAAGCTGCCCGTCGATATGCCTAAAACGGGATGAAAACTCCAATTAGAATTGACAACAAGGTTTGCAAATCGGGCATGAGCCCGGAATTCCACTAGACCGAATTAGTTGAGTAAAAATCAAATGAACATTACTGAAGAATTCGTAGATTGGGTTCACAAGCCAAAGGTTAGCACGAGGCATTGGTTCGAACTCAAGAGTATAGAACTTACCAATTAGAAAGCGACCAAAGTACAGCCAACCGGCTGATTTGGCAAAGCTGATCGACAGCCAGGCCAAAATGAATGGGACATCCATGGCCAGCGCCGTGTAACGCCTGCCAATTGTATCGGCTATATAGCCCGTGGGCAGAGCGCCCAAGAAGGCGCCAATGGCCAACAGCGAGCTAACCCAGGTCTCTGCAAGTAAACAATTTGAGAAACGATATCACTTGCGGTCTAAATGCTTCCAAGATTAGATTTTGTTTCGATATCATTTCCGTTCCAATAAGCTGCATTCGCGAATGTCGATTAAAATGCGACGTGACTGATTACCCATATGAATCAGAAGACTTCTTATAAATGAGCTACCTACGTTGGGCAACAGTTAGTTGTAGTTGATCATCGTGGGGCACAGTCTGCGTTATTGGACTGCTCGCATTTCCGGTGGAGTTGGTCGTAATTGCCGTAATATTGTTGGGGACACTGATCTGAGGCAGCACAGGACTCGTCCAGGCCAGGGCAGTGCCAGCAGCGACTGCGCCCAGGCAAACTGAAAGCATATTTTCAAGCAATAAAGGACCATAATTTTTGTAATCCTCAAACGAAAACTTACCCACAAGTGCCGCAATATATTGACGTGTCTTGGAGGTCTTCACAACGCCGTCCTGCAGCGGATCGTAGAGCATGGGATTGCGTGATGCGGCATCGGTATCCTCTTGGCTGACGGTCTATCCAAGAGACGCAAGAGATTTAAAAATATTTTAAATAACGCATCGACTATTGACTTCTTAGGTGAATCTATTTTTGTTGGCAACGACACGTGCTGTCCCACAAACTGGGCCAAAAACAAACATTTTTGCCAACAAAGTTCTGCGCAAAATGAGCTTTGCGTTTGCCGGCGAGCTTGTCAAGAGTTCATGGGTTACATTAAAGTCTATAGTTGGCATTATAATCCTGCTGATCAGATTCAATTACTGCAAAATGCCGAATAAAGAGCAATTGGCGGTCATGATACGCTGGCGCACAAGAATTCGCAAAACGCAATCAAAATAAGCAAAAATAATGTAAATAATAATGCACAAATGAACAGATAGATATACTTGTGTATAAATACCCGAGACAAGATGTGTGTGTGTGTCTGAGTGTGCTTATTTTTAAAAAGAAGGTGTGTGCATTTGAATGTTGCCATGCTTCTAACATTAGAATAAGTCAATATTTGGCCTTTACCTGCCACCAGCGCGCCATGGCACGCACGACTTTATCCGAGTCCATTGTAAACTCTCTGGGAACTGGCCAATTTAAAGTATTCCCAAACGCGTTATATAAACACAAAAGCTATCAGAGGACGCACCGTTTAACGACACTTTATTTATACGTATTTATATCTTTATACTTTTATTTTGCCTATTATGATATTTGGTCAATAAAAATTTGTATATATAGATAGAGATTAATGTCCATATATATGTATATACAAAAAGAAATTGTATTTTTCGCTAATTTTAGTTGGCGGCTCCGCGATTGTTTTGGTCCGTGCGGCCAACACAGTTGGAGACGACTGTTTTGGCGACTCTTCGAAAAACGTATTTTCTTCTCAGATCTTTAAATTTGCGGCGCTTCTATTTTGGCCGATACTCTCTAGATGTTCTAGCAGCATTTTCCGATTTTATTAGCAAATTTGTAACAATTTAAATGATCTAAAACTCAGATATTACCGAATGGAATGACAAGTTGAGTCGGGGCTAGTCTTTTAGAATAATGTTTATGTCGATTGGACAGAATCTTTGTTTGTTGTCTGTTATACTAATTTTGATATCAACTTAAATACATGTAGTTTGTGTTGGCTTTTTACAGGGTATTTCAACTTCGATAAAGTATTATTCTTTTTATCGTGTTTTTTTGGCTATTCATTGTAATGCCACGGGATTTCGCGCATTTAAATGCACAACATTTCGTATTTTACGTCAGAGACAATAGAAAAGTGCATCGCGGACTTGATCGAGTGTCCAAAGGTGCAAAATAATGATCTTAAAGATATTCGGTACAATAGCTGTTAATCAAAAAATCTTAATAATTTATAATTGATTTTCGGTAGGATTAGCTGACTGTGTCAAGTCATACATTTGAGTCTGAGATATTAGTAAATAGATCGCATATAGTCGCACTCATAATTGTAGCACATTCTGACCGATATCATATCAAACATACACAAATGTTGCGCATACGCCCCCACGTCCAACTGTCAATGTTCATATATAAAGAACTAAATAATTTATAATTGATTTTAGATTGATTAGATGACTGTGTCAAGTCGTTCATTTGAGTCTGACATTTTAGGAAATAGATCGTTTAGAGTCGCACTCATAATTGTAGCACATTCTGAACGATTTCATAACAAACATACACAAATGTTACGCATACGCCCCCGCGTCCAACTAAACAAATGCTTCCTGTAATGTCTATAAAAAATTGCGTTTCTGTTGCACTTGCCAAAAATGCCATTCGACGACATTCAAATGCGTCAGGTAAAAGCATTTTAAATCTTGCAAAATAACTAAAAACAAACGGATATATACTTACATCTGTACTTCGTATATACGTAATCACAAATACGTATGTGAATATTATAAGAAAAACAGACGAAATAGTTGTCTCTGAGAGGCGAGAGATTTCATTCCCTTGGAAGTAGATTTAATAACAAATTCCATTGCCGATGCACGATATTGATAAATTATTTTTCAGCAAAGCAAAAGATAAACATAGTAAGAAATAATTATCATTATAGTACATTCCAATTAGATAATTCCCAATTCCCATAGGAGCGACTTGGGTGTGTAGCTTCATCTTGTTGCCCTGGTCAGTAATATTCCTAACTATTTTATGGGATATTGCGGTCATTAGAGATAGCGTGAAATAATTCAAATACCCTTTGCACAGCAATAAAAACAAACGCATTTACGACAAAAGTACAAATGTATTTATACATTTTATATTTATCTATTTGGGTGTGATATTCAAATCCTTTTGGGAATGCAAACGAGCGCATCAATGTTATCAAATCGGAATGTTTAATTGTAAAATGTACTACACAAACGTAATTGCATTTAATGGCGTCAACTGAAATTCAAATTTCAAATAAACCTGTCGCCATTCCCTGCAACAACAATAACAACAACAGGTCAGCTAGAAAGAGAGAGAACGAGCGAGGGGAGAGCCTATAAAATGCATTTGCCGTGCAGAGAGACCGAGAGACGGAGAGACACACCCACCAGTCAAAGGAGGCGCATCACATGCTAATTAGTTTTTCGTTTTCTTTGCTCTGTTTACTTTTTGCCGATTCCCCTTTGCCGATGCCCCAATGTCAAGTGCAATCATCGTCATCAACATCGGCAACGGCAACGGCATCGCCGCCAGTGTTGTTGACGCCGTTGCGCCTCGTGTCTTTCGCAGTACACGAAGACAACGTTCTCGGCAATCGCTCGTTGTAGTAGTCGGTCGCTAAATCGTGAGCTGCTTGCTGCAGGCTTGCTCTGAAATTTATTGGCTCTCAGTAGCTCTAGGGAATGTGTGATTAAAAGTCACATAAACAATGTTTTTATTTGTATTGAGGGAAAAGAATCAATTATAAATTCTATTGCAGTTTTACTTGAAGGTGGGTACAAGATTATTGCACGCAAGTACAGTGGCTCACAATAGGGTGCGTGCAGTCTCAATTCATAACATTAAACAGGTACATTTAGTTAGTTGAAGATAGTATTTTGTATTTTGTGAGAGTATAACTTGAAGGAAGGCTTCTCTGATCGCAAAAATTATATACATATATTCTTGTTCAGCACCAACCACTGCGCGTTCGTCCGTATGTATGAACATTTCAATGTCAATCTCAAACAAAGCCTACTTCACGTTTTGTATGTATGTATGAATGCGTGTATGCTTGGATGTGTTACATAGGCAAAGTTACATTTCTTTTTCTTTCGAGTGTGTATAGAAAACATCTAGATAACAGCATTTTTACAGAAATATTTCTAAATAAATAAAAATATGTATGTTAAGCCAATTCAGATCTAGTTTCTCCTAGTATACTTATAAAATATTAAAATATTTGAATAATTTCAATCATTTCAAGTTGATAAGATTTATAAACACACAGATAAGTAAATCTACATGAGCTTTCAAGTAATATTTCGATTCATTTCTTATATTAGCTTTTATCCAATATAATTCACATTCTAAGGCTGTAAAATGCATTGTTTATGGCGGATGCGCCGGCCATGATATGCCGAAACAGACATGTAAATATTATTGTTGCTTCGCAGATTGCTCGACAGCTCGCACAAACAAGATAAAAATGTTCAAACATGTCCGGTCTGGAAACATAAGCAATAAGCGATAGGGTCCAGAACGACAACAACAGTAAGCTATAGAGTATATACATACATGTACATATGTATTCAATGTGAAATATGTGCTTTTTTGGCGCGATAAAATAAAACAATATTCAATTTTTGACAATGCACGACATAAGTTTAATATATTCTATAATATCGTGTCTCTATTATCACTGCTATCAGTAGAGGGTAAGTCGACTCGTGAATCACAAACTCGTCTGTGCTAATCTAATACCAGCATATATATATATATATATATATATATATATATATATATATATATGGTTAAACATACATATGGCATATGTCTACAAATCTAAATCATAAATCGTCTTATTTAAAGGTCTTTAATTTGTCATTATCAAAAACAGGCAGTTCTCACGTGAACTTACGCATTGTCGTAGCTTCTTAAGTGGTGCCCAAATATAGTTTTTTTTGGAAATTTAATTTAAAGGGAAGGGAGTACGCAACTATGAGTTACCCAGTAGAATGTGTGGCACTCGAAAAATATTATGCATAAGCACGTATTGGAGAGTCGAGTGATTATTTATTGCCGTCTTGTGCTATGGGTACTTATAGTTTAGTATTTTTATGACTGTTAACTGAAAGCAAAAACGAAAAGTTCTAATCCAGTCATTTGCTTAATTGTTCCATTGATTGGCCCACAAACCAAGGTAAGCTATTCAAGTAGTCCATTGTTTGTATGTGGGCTTATGTTCATGGTCTCTGATAGGATGACGTTGAATAATTTATGAAATCTTATGGCCTGGCAATAGACGTAATAAAGTAAACATTTAAAATTCGGCACAAGTTGTCATGGTAAGATTTGAGCTTTGCACTAGAATTCCGTTGCTGGGATCGAGATAAGATATCTAACCTAATGTATGAACTAATAGGTAATAAATTAGCTTAAAGATTGTGGATTATTTATATAAAATATTAATTCAAAAAAATACAATGCTGGGCATTTGTATAAAACCAATGATGAGCATATCGAAACTTTTATCAGACCTAAGCATAGCATACTTTTCAGTAACCATGTGATCATTAGGTTAGCCCAATGAATAATAAAAGCACTTGATTTTTGGAAAGGAAAGCAATAACATTTTTATACTTCATTTGACAACAACTTTGAACATATTTTAAATAAATTTAAGTTGAGCTTTTGTAAGATTTTAGTGTTTAAGATTTATTTAAAATTTCTTAAGGTTTACTTTTCATACGCTCTTACCTTTTTAATATCCTCAGTGGCAACCATTGTTTATGTAGTCTATATAAAAAGTACCCAAAATCACCGAGAAATTAAATCATTTAATTTGATTGGTGTTAAATTCCGTTGAAAATTATTTGTATATATTTTTCTTAATTTTTTTAACTGATATTTTTTTCCAGTTTAAATTTACTGGCAACGTTTTTAGTATCGAAACGTGTGGATGGGCGCACTGAGAGCCCGAGCAAAACTGAATTTCTCTAAGGAAACGCGCTTAACAGCACAGCTAAAAGCCAACGCTGCCAAGACCCAGCGCAGCGCGTCGACTGCGACGCGGCGTCGTCAATTGATATGTACATATGTGCGTAAACATAGCGCGACAGCAGCAGCGACGCTAGCGTTAACGTTCTGCTGTCGACTGCGCACCGAGACTTCCATTTGCATTGATATACGCAACCCGTCAGTCAGTCAGTCAGTTAGCTGATGAAGGAGGGGCGTATGTGGATAGAGCCTTGGATAATCTAAAGATTGATCAAGAGCTTAATATGCGGATGGATATATTGCAGTTAAGTCCAAATCAATTGAGGTTCTACATGGCGTATGAGTGATTTAATTATTTATTGCTGGTCACTTTTGGCAGAGAGGCTTTCTTTGCTCAGACTTCGCTTGTATGCCATAAAGCTTATGTTTTGCTGATCGAAGTATACCTGAAACTTCTCCAGGAGTCGTCGAAAGCCGCTCTCCAACGCTGCTGAGCTAACATCCTTGAGCTTATCCAGCACATAATCAATAAGAGCGTTCATCAGCATCTACAGATGGAAAATAAGATAAAAAAAAATATGATTCGTAAACTACATTTGCTTAACATCTTTAGGCAATGTACCCTCATATGCTCCTGAGACACACGGCAGCGAGTGTGTACTATGTGATTGTCGCTCAGCATTGCTTGGAATAATACCGGATCGTTCTGATCAATTACGGCGCTTATATAGCGCATAAAGGCCAAGGAATGTCCATGCAAGCGGTGCATATCAAGTTTGCCATTATGGCGAAAGTTTTCAAATGTTGAGTAGTGCTTCATAATAAAGCTACAAATTGTTGCTTATTTAACATTAAGTTTCTACGAGCTAATGTTTTCATCTCACGTAAAGTAAATGTCCTTTCCATAGCGCCGCTCGAATGGTTTGATTAGCTTCCAAGCCTGCCGCAAAGCCAATCTTTCGTTAAGCGTAAACCCACTCTCATCGTACACAGGTCCAACTTTCAGTACTGGCAACGGCTTTGGAAAGATGGAGGCCACATCGATAATACTACTACTACTTTCATGTACAGTAGATAATTTTGAAGTAACTGAAAGCTTTGCGTGGATTTTGCTCATTTCGCAATTTTGGTTATTTAATATATTTCAAATAAAAAATGATAATATGGGTAGTATTGAAAATATGACGATTGTATAAATATGTCTGCAAAACTACTGCAAAATATGCAATTTAATATTAGATTACTGATTAAATATAGTACGCCTATGTGATTTTGGGTAGAAATTTGGAAAGAGTTTTTCTGGATTGTGTTCTATCCACATTAAGTGCCCGTAGTTTCATCGAATATCAATTATATAGTCACATGTTCGCCGTTTGTTCCGTTTAATTTAAAGGCTCAGATCAACCACTTTCTGATGATCGTTGAGCACATCAATAATATCTTTCATGGAAGAACGTTTGTCTGGATCGGGACTCCAGCAGTCTGTCATCAATTCTTGAATCTTGTCGGGACAGTGAAATTGTAATTCATCCAATGACGGTCGTTCTCCTAATATGATGATATTAAATATTGATTATATAATTAACAATAAGAGTAACATATTACATACCCGTTTCCACTTTTCGACATATTGTTAAATTATTGCAATACTTTTCAAAGGGCTTTTTCCGTGATAGCATTTCCCACAGGGTAATGGCAAAGCTGTAAACATCACATTTCTCGGTGTATTTTACGTTATTGAAAACCTATTAGAAACAGAATTCCTTGTGTGAAGTTGCATATATACTTAAAATAAGAAAAATAGTAGAAACCTCCGGTGCCATATGGGCGGCATCGCCAACATTGCTTGACATTGTGGTATCCAGATCTCTTACGCAAGAAAACTCATAAATCTTTACACATCGATGTTTATCACATAGTAATATACTGAACGGGCGTATGTCACGATGAACCATTGCCTGGTCATGCAGATAGCCAATACCCTGTCAAATAACGAAAACAATAAGCAATCCTTAAGTAAGTGCACAGATACGCTTACTTTGGCGATCTGGAGCGCCCAGTTTATAACATGTTCCAATTCATACTTTGTCTGTTCGATATGTAAAAAGTTGTAGAATGACCCGCCATCCACGTATTCCATTACCAAATAGACGGTAGGAAACTGGATTGATGTACCATGTAAAAATATGATATTCTCATGGTTTGCACGAAAAAGCTGTTTGGTTCCTCTTTGCATAGAATTATTTGAATTAATGTAAACCTTCTTTACAGCAACATCTTTCGTGAGCCATTTTGCTTTATATACTTGCATAAAGCTTCCCTTACTGATCTCCTAAAAGAGAGTTTAAAGTATTTTATCTGCATTTTAAACACATAGATATTTATTAAAACATACGTCACCCAGAATAATGTCGTCAAAATTAATGGCATTCATTTTTATCGCTATAAAAATATTATAAATTGCAAGTATTCTGATTCACTTTATGAAAAAAAGATAAGATATAAGCTTTCCAAATACGAAACATTGTTATATGTTGGACAATTATTTTGCAACACTCACGGTTAATTATAGTTATTTACATCAAAATGTATTTTATAAAATATACTTTAAAATTATAGTTGTTATATTTCACTGGTCTTTTATTTGTGCGAGTACATATTTAAAATTTGATATTAAATTTCCAATCGAGTTGTTGTTAAACACATCGAGCATCGAGAGCTTTCTATTAATCGATAACTTTAATGACGATAAGTTTGATGGGCAACAGTTACGTCATATGTAATCAGCTGATATTGCCGCTCAAAACATTAACATGTCGCTGGCGAATCCTTTTCGTGCCGTATTTCGTCTACCAAGTCGAAATCAACGCGTCAATTGGTTTCCAGGCCACATGACCAAGGGCGTGCGACAAATACAACAGAAGCTACGCAGCGTCGATTGCATTGTTGAAGTACACGATGCCCGCATTCCTCTAGCAGGTCGGAATTCTCAATTCTTTGACACAATAACAGGTATACAAATGAGATTAGCTTTGTTTATACATATTTTACGGCAAAATTTGTTGTTTCCATAGGGAACGGCGTAAAACCACATATATTAGTCCTGAATAAGGTAGACCTCATAGGGACCAAGCAACAACGCGGTATCCTCAAGCAGCTACGAACACAGCAGCCCGAACTGAGAAACATTCTCTTCACTAACTGCAAAGATCAGCGGAATACCGGCGTATTGGACATACTGCCATTGGCAACTAAGTTGGTGGCAGAAAGTAGTAGATTCAATAGAGCACATAGTGCCGAGCACAACATTATGATTATTGGTGTGCCCAATGTGGGTAAGAGCAGCATAATCAACGTACTGCGAAATGTGCATCTCAAGAAACGCAGCGCGGCACGCGTCGGCGCCGAGGCCGGTATCACTCGAGCCGTCGGCGAGCGCATTAAAATCCAAGAACAGCCTTTGGTCTATATGATTGATACACCCGGCATACTGCAGCCGTCTGTTACCGACGACGAAATGGGCATGAAATTGGCACTGGTTGGCTGTGTACCCGATCACATCGTGGGCGAAGATCTGATAGCCGACTATCTGCTGTATTGGCTGAATAAACATAGGCGCTACGAGTACGTCGAAAAACTGGGTCTAACCTCCGGTCCCAGTGATAATATAAGCGCCGTTCTTGCAGAATATGCACAGCAGCAGGCGATGTTCCACCGTGTAAAGCAATACAATGGACAGGTGGAGGTGATGACAAATTTATTGGCCGCCGCGCGAAAATTTATCAGCTTCTTTCGCACTGGACAGCTGGGGTCTATTAATCTAGACGAAGAATGTACTTAGCATATTTAAATGGAGTTCCTTACAATATAGTTACAAAGTTTCTTTAATTTCTTGTCAAGTAAATCTCTGAAATCAATTATCGACCATTGGGACGTCAATGGCAATGTTACCCACGCCCGGTACGGGTATAGAGTAGGAAACACCAACATTGTCCATCTCAGTATCAGCCGCTTCTTCCTGCGGCACGGCCAACTCTATGGGTACTTGTTGTTTTGGTTCCACGACCGGTATCTGTTCTGTATCGACGTTGCATACGGTTGGCTCTACTGCATCCGTGGGTGCACTGCTGACAGCGTAGCCAGTTTGTGCCGCTACTGCACGCAATTCCTCTGGAACGCCTTGCATGCGCTTACTGATGTAGCCAGTGTAGGGTGCCATCTTCTGATAATATTCGATAAGCATCTGCGGATCCTTCTCCGATACCTGGCTGCTTGCCACTAAATCGAACTCGTCACAATATTGCCATCTGACGAGGTATTTGATTTCCCCGGTAACGTCGGTTGCGCCCATGATCTCAGCCAGTTCCAAACAACGCTCATAGCCGCGCGGCTTCTGTATTTCCTCACATTTCGGTTTCTTTTCGCCGCGCTTCTTAGATTTTGCTCGCGACTCCTCGAACTTTTGTATGAGAGCTGGGCATTCACAGTTTTCTTCCGGCTCCCAAGTATTGTCCCCGGATGGATAGCCGCGCCACTTAATAAAATACTCTACTTTTCCATCGGCAGTGATACGCTTGTCCACAATGCGCTCAACAACAAAATTCGGTTCGTTTTTTACCATTTCTATTGTAAATTGTTTGGTTTCGGATAATATTTATAAGCTTGTAAGTGTTGGCTAATGATGCAAATAATATCGATAGGTCGCGTTTTTCATACTGCTGTCTGTTTGCTGTTAACTAAAGGACTGTTCTGTTAAGCGCAGGATCTATCGATATTTTAAGTCGACCCTTTAAGAAATCTAAGCTCGTAATTTGTATGCATTTCCAAGTCGCGATTTTAAATTTTTTCCGGTTCGAAAAACCATTTATAAAGATAATAAATAATAATGGCCCAGTTTGAAAACGATTGGTCGGATTGGAATCCCCTAGCTGAGCATTATTTTGATGAGACTTCAAACAAATATGAAAGTGTCAACGAAGCACCTGCAAAAGATAATGGTAAACAGGATCGGATTACCAAACAAATGCAATATCCATACTTGGTTATTAAAAAGAAGAATCAATTTATTACATACAACATGTTGAGAAATTTCTTTGGCGACATTATTTATGACATTGAATTTCGCTCAGGATCACGTGTATTTTGTGTTTATTTTCATAATATTGGGTATGTTTTTTAAAAGTGAATTTTTGACTTTTGAACTGTGTGAATTTTTCGTTATCTTGAATAAGATCTCTTGAGGCGGCCTGGACAAAGATTCGTCAGTTTCCAAATATTATCTTTTGTGTCGAGGGTCGTTCTCAACAAAACGACACTTTTTTTCCCTGTCAACAAAACGAGGCTGAAGAAACTAAAATGCCCGAACCAGAACTAACTTCAAACGCCGTGGACTTGGAATCTCGCACTATTCAAGTATCAGCAAATCCAAACAAGCATCCGGAATTCTTTAAATCTCCCATAGTTATCAAAGCTGACTACACCGGCAAAAACTCTCTGCTGGCCGTAAACGATGTGAATCAACGTTATCTGAACGTTAAATATGAGTTTACGCTGGAGCGATGTGGAGCTTACGAATTCCAGAAGATTGTTGAAATAGATCAGGCCGTGCTTCACTATCGATCCGGCCGCTTAATAGTTACGTAGGTATTTGTAATAGGCAAACAAAAAGTTTAATATATTTCAATTGGTTTATAGACCTAACAACCAACAGGAATCTAAGGCGTGTAATGGTGAATCAAAGCTTCCGCAACTAGCAAAGAAGTGTTTAGCTTGCAGTTGCTACACTGACAACAGTTGCAAATTTTGCCGGATGCCCTTCTGCAATCCAGTGTGCTTTGATGCCCTAGCCGCTGCGCACAAGGAGAGCTGTGACAAGGGTAGGCCGCCCGTGATTGACGATACCATTACGACAAATATCACAAAGGTAAAGCTTCCGCCCTCCGGTAGCAACGTCAAAATCACTGCATTTGAGCAGACCAACGTATTGTACGTGCGCTCAGCTGAAATTGTCGCCGAGATTGCCTACTATAAAGTGCTCTCGGACGTCATGATGCGGGGCAAATTGGCGCCCAAGCTGACTCAGTTGCCGCAGTGCGGTCAGATTGTCATTTACAAATCCAGCATTCAAACTGTACGAGCTATGGTGCTTAATGTCGACAATCCGCAATTCATATATGTGGTATGTGTGGATTACGGCAACGTGGAGATCACAACGCTCGAATATCTGCACGAGTGCAGCACCTATTTGGCAGCATTGCCGCGCTATGCTGTGCCCGTGCTGCTGCGCCGCGTACCAAGGCGCTTCATGTGCCCCAATGTGCGTAGTATGTTGTACGAGCTGGACCACACCTACACATTTGTGCTGAAGTACTCGGAGCGTGAGTTTGACTTCGACAAGGGCATGCAACGCGTCGTTCTCATTGAAAGCGAACTAAATCGCAGCTTAAATGGATTGATTAAGACAATAGTAACTCCCGTGGAGCCATTGCTATCAGAAGTTGGATATAAAGAGGATGTAAGACAGGTCCAATAGATGCTTTCATCCAGTTTTGTCTAATTCTTTGCTTTGGATTTCAGTATTTGCAGCACGTGCATTTGCCAACTGGCAAAGGCCTTGACCTGGTCGTCATGGATAATACGTTCATCAAATTTGGTGTCATTCACTGCACTCTTTTGGATTATGCATACGAAATAACTCAGATGCAGCGCGACATTCAATTCTACGGTGAATCCGTTGCCAAATGCGCATTCTATGCTGCTCCGTAAGTCGACTTTGCATAGGCATCAAATATTTATTATATTTATTTTTATATTTTTTAGAAAGAACGATTTATGTATTGCAAAATACCAAGGCAAATGGTGCCGAGGCTTGTGCATGGAACTAGTGGGCGATGGTTACCCCAGCATCTTATTTATCGACTACGGAAATATTATCCCAATTCATGTTAATGATATTCGCCCATACCCTCCACAATTTATATTCCCCATATTAACTACCGAATACGATCTGCTGGGCGTGCCTGTTGATGTTACCGACGAGCAACTGGCACGTCTGGAAAAATATTTGGCAATTGGCGCCATTGTAAAGTGCGATGAGGTTATTTACAACAAACAGGATAATAATTACTCGCTGCGCATAGACGCTGTTCAGAACCTCATAGAGTAGAACAAAGCATTTATGTATGTAAATCTCGTTTTAATAAGTTTGCCATATTGCGATAACCAAAAAAATATGTTAACTAAATAAAATCTATTAAAGTATTTGAAGCTCTGGATCTTTATGCTGCTTGCTGAAGACGCATCTTAGGCTTGATAATTCATCACTGAAAAATGTGTCCTGCAAATTATAAATCAACTAAAATCAAATCAGGTTAAGACTAAGAACGTTGTATACCTTTAAAAATGCATCGCTGAAAGGTGGCTGCCATTGGCTCCAGCTTGTCTGTTAAGAGAAGAAAGTTTTAGCTAATATTTGACAAACTAACATTTACTCACATTCTGTAGAACTCTGAGCAGATGCTGTGTGTCCTCCTCACGCAGGTTTATCAAACCCATTAAGGAATCGCTCCTATTGACCAGTCCCAAGTGTTGCTGAAACTGTCGCTCCTCCAAGCAGTCAGCTGTGATTAGTGTATAAATTCGCATGTTCGCTGCCAATAAATGCCTCGCTGCAGCTCGTGCGCTATAATTATAGAGTATTACATATTTGCAGCCAGTTAGGCGCTCTTTTGGCAATTGGCTTGCCATTAGAAGGGCAACCATTGGTGCCTTTGCATCCTCCGTGCTGGGGGCATTGAAGCAGTTGGCTTGCAAGCCATCGGAAACTTGTATGTGTGGTATATCCCAGCATTGACAGTAGCCCTTGATGATGTCTAAGCAATTTTGACTATCTGCAACAATGGCACACTTCTCACCGCGCACTGCAACTAAATTGTCGAGTATTAAATGCACGAATTCAAATTTGGCACAGTCATAGAGACCCATTTCCTGCCAGGGCGGCAAATGTGGTACCAGTGCGTCAGTCACAATTGGTTGATTCTCGATGTGCTTCAGTAGCACAGGATGATCGCAAATTTGTTGAGCTACTTGAAGAATGTCAACCGACGCAGATGTTTGTTGCTATAAATTCAAAGTAAAATAAAACGATACCGATTAAAAATATATATATTTAAATATATAGATATTTCCTTTGTTGCGTTACACATGTCGTGACTTAATCTCTCGTGACTTACCATGCCTGAATCCCGACAATAATCGGCAAGCAGCTGCATTGTCTGATATTGAAGTTCCGCTGGTGCCAGCATGCAAATGTATTCGTCTAGCTGGAAAGGATCAGCTGCTGGGATGACACAACTTGAAATTTCGTTGAGGGATTTGAATTCGGGCAATCGCTTTGGCCTTTTCAAGATGTTCATCGGCCTTTGTGGTATGCCGCTGGTGTCATGGTGCCCGGCAACTTGACCAACAGATTCCTCTTGCTGGCGATACCAGTTTTCAATCTCTTCTTTCCGCTGCGTTATGCATTCGGCGGCGGTCGTTAGCTCCACTTGTATTTCAACGTCCCTCATGCCGATTTCTAGTAGAGCATCCTTTTGAATTTTTTCATGCTTAAAACACGTTAAGACGTCCATTACTTTGCCCGTTTCGTCTTTCAAGGTTGCCTTGGTTGCAGTCAACTCTAGAGTTCCATTGCCTGTCCAAGTTTTATGTTTTTTGTTGGACTGTTTGCGCCAGAGCACCAGGAAGATTCGCTTATCCGTAAGCGGATTCTCTCCTTCATTGTACTTTCGTGGCCTGAATCCTTTATAGCAACCTGCTGTTCCCCATTGCATTTCCAGGGGCTCAGCAGCGCTTTTGTCATATTTGACATTCAATTCAATAGCAGCAGCACCCATTTTGGCTGCTCTGCGTATTGATGGGGCCTGCGAACGGCGCATTAGACTTTTAAATGCAACGCCCAATGTCTAAGTTTTAAAATGTAAATAAATAATTTCAAATGGCCGCTGTGTTAACTTTCATTTAAAGCTAGTGATGAGTATGGGAGTGCATAAATATATGCGATTAGCTAAAATGTATCGATAAATCGACTCTGTTAACTTGCCATGGAGTCTGTTAAAGCAAACCGATATATCGTTAATATTCATCGAGTTGAAATTGGCACCAATTGACTTATCGATGATGCAAAAAAGCACCCGAGCCGGCGTTTCCACATTGTGGATTACCCACCAATTCCAGTTGTAGTGGAACTGCAGTTGACCCGGGTCTGTTGCATACAAATGTCAGCATGGCGTTCCATTGGTGCGACAACAACCTGCATACCACGGTATTCACGCCACGCGACTTTCAAGTGGAGCTTCTGGCGTCCGCCTTTGAGCGCAACACCATCATCTGCTTGGGCCATAGAAGCTCTAAGGAGTTTATAGCACTAAAGCTTTTGCAGGAGCTCTCCAGACCAGGACGTCGGAATGGTAAGGTGAGCGTGTACTTAAGCTCTCAGATTGATGCTGAGGCCACGTCCATGTACACGATGCTCACACACCTCACTGATCTCAAAGTGTGGCAGGAGCAGCCGGATCAGCATGTGCCGTCCAATCATTGCTGGGCCGACTACCATGTCAGCATACACAAACCAAGCACCTTCCTGTCGTTGCTGCAAGCTGGGGATCTGCTTCTAAGCAGTATTCAACTTATTGTGCTGGAGGATTGTCATGACAGCTCTGTGTATCGCAGCATTTTGCCCATTTTTGAGGAATTTATTCTGCCTGCAGAGCCATCCGATAGACCTCGAATATTGGGCCTAGCCGGCCCTTTGCATAGCGCCGACTGCGAATTGGAGGAACTGAATGCCATGCTAGATACATTGGAACAGCAAATGTTGTGTCGCATTGAGACGGCCAGTGACATTGTCACGGTGCTGAGGTACTGTGCCAAGCCGCATGAGTATATTGTGCAGTGTGCGCCCTTCGAGATGGATCAGCTTTCTCGCGTGATAGTCGATATTCTTACTACACATAAATCGTTCTTAGGTGATCATCGTTATGATCCCTTTGAGATCTATGGTACCGATCAGTTTATGGAGGACCTAAAGGGTATGTGTTAATGGACTTGCTCATGGTCAAGCCCCAAGCTAGTTCTTATTCAAACATAAGTTAATAATTTGAACTACTACAGATATTCCGGATCCGAAGTTGGACCCGATGAATGTGCTGGACGGCCTGCTTGCTGTGCTCCATGAAATGGGACCCTGGTGCACGCAACGGGCCGCTCTTCATTTCTACCAACGCAACGAAAAGCTCAAGGTCAAGACTCCACACGAACGCCACTATTTGCTCTTCTGCCTGGTGAACACAGCGCTTGTAGAAATCAATGCCCTCTGCGAGCAAACATTCCAAAAGCAAGTCATCGAAGATCCTCTTGGCACCATTGAGCGCTACTCAAGCCCTAAGGTGCGACGACTGCTGCGAGTGCTCCGCTGCTTTAAGCCAGCTGAAGCCCACACCCAGACGGATGGCTTGCGTAGGATGCGCCACCAGGTGGACCAAGCGGACTTTAATAAACTATCTCATGCTCTGAAAGCCAAGTGTCAAGTGATTGAACAGCTTGATGAACAGCATGGGACTACGCGTTCTATAGTTAATCATCTGCTGCATCTGATCCAACCAACAGATAAGGAACAACCGAAAACAAGTACCGAAGGGGCAGTTCCAGTAACTGCACCACTGCCCACAACAAAATCCAAATCCAACGCACAGCCACACACTAGAAGGCGGGCGCACACACGGCGGCACAATCGGCACCAGCACGATGCAAGCGAGACCCTTTGCGCACTTATCTATTGCAATGAAAACCACACGGCACGCGTACTGTTCGAACTCCTTGCGGAGTTGAGCAGACGCGACCCGGATCTCAAGTTCCTGCGCTGCCAGTACACCACGGATCGCGTGGCTGATCCCGCGACGGAGCCAAAAGAGGCTGAACAGGAGCACAGGCGGCAAGAAGACGTGCTCAAACGCTTCCGAATGCACGATTGCAATGTGCTAATTGGCACCTCGGTGCTGGAGGAGGGCATTGATGTGCCCAAGTGCAATCTGGTGGTGCGTTGGGATCCACCCACTACCTACCGCAGTTATGTGCAATGCAAGGGACGAGCGCGAGCCGCACCCGCCTACCACATAATGCTTGTGGCACCCAGCTATGATCCTACTGCAGCGGCGACTGATGATCCAGTGCAGCTAACCGATCAAAGTCATCGATTTATATGTGCCACGATTAGTGATACTGCTGAGCAGGAGGAGAGTGACTCGGATGACTCGGCATTGCCCAATTCCCTGGCCTCAGATCCTTATACTTTCGGCACAGCTCGTGGCACGGTCAAAATACTTAACCCGGAGGTGTTTAGCAATCAACCGCCGACCGCATCTGACATAAAGCTGCAGGAGATCCAGGATGAGGTACCGACAGTGCTGGATGGCGGCAACTCCAGTGATGACGCCATGAGCTTGACCAACACCACGCCCAGTGACAGATCCGCCGAGCGTAGACCGAAGCAGCGCTTCGAATGCGAACTCCTCGCAATGTCCGATAATGCCCTGTCCAACGCGGTCAACGTCTCCGTCGCGGCGGACACTCTGACCAGTACTACTCAGGCGCTAGTGCATCAAATGGCACAATATCGTGAAATCGAACAGGTAAACATTACGTATCCAATATTATCCCAGGTATTTAAAAAAGTTAAACAGATTACAAGACTCTTCATCAGGTCGACCGTATGAAAGCAGGGGGACAGGGTATCCCTAGTTGTGCTACATCTTGTCTTTAATAATGTGTTTGATTTATAGATGCTGCTATCGAAGTGCGCTAATACGGAGCCAGCCGAAGTGGAGCAACAACAAGCAGAGCGCTTCACCAGCTGCCTGGCCGCCTTTCAGCCCAGGCCGGAACTGTCGACGGGCGCCTCTGTAGATTTGAGTACTGCTATCGCGCTGGTCAACAAGTATTGCGCCCGCCTGCCCAGCGATACCTTCACCAAGCTAACTGCTCTGTGGCGCTGTGCGCGTTCCGTACGACATGGCGTTATCCTTTACCAGTACACGTTACGCCTGCCTATCAATTCACCACTGAAGCACGACATTGTTGTAAGTGTATGAGGTTTTATAGTATAATAAGTCTATCGTCTAGCATGTCCTATAAGGTAATGGGTATTTTAATTTTTCATTAAAAAATCATCAATTTTGCAACATTTCTGCTTAATTTTATTGCATTTGAAGGGTCTTCCAATGCCAACGCAAACACTGGCACGACGTCTGGCCGCATTCCAGGCCTGTGTGGAGTTGCATAAGATCGGGGAACTGGATGATCAGCTGCAACCCATTGGCAAGGAGGGCTTTCGCGCTCTGGAACCGGACTGGGAGTGCTTCGAACTGGAGCCGGAGGATGAGCATATAGTGCAACAAAACGATGAACCACGTCCAGGCACCACCAAAAGGCGCCAATACTATTATAAGCGCATTGCATCGGAATTCTGTGATTGTCGTCCAGTGGCCGGGGCTCCCTGCTATCTGTACTTTATTCAGTTAACACTGCAGTGTCCCATACCCGAGGAGCAAAACACTCGTGGTCGCAAGATTTATCCGCCGGAGGAGGCGCGGCAAGGCTTTGGCATATTAACACTGAAACGCATACCTAAGCTGAGCGCTTTTTCCATATTTACACGATCTGGCGAAGTAAAGGTCTCGCTGGAGCTCGCACGCGAGCGAGTTGTGCTAACCGAAGCGCAGATTAGCTGCATCAATGTCTTCCTTAATTATACGTTCACAAATGTGCTACGCCTGCAGAAGTTCCTCATGCTCTTCGATCCGGATTCAACAGAAAATTGTGTGTTCATTGTGCCAACGGTAAGAACGGAGCAGGACAGCCGACTTATAGATTGGCAATTTCTGGAGCTGATACAAGCAACTGGGAACCTGATGCCTCAGCCAGTGCCGGATGGAGAACGGCAAGCGCAGCCCTTTGAGGCTCAACGTTTTCAAGATGCTGTCGTCATGCCCTGGTACCGAAACCAGGATCAACCGCAGTACTTCTATGTTGCAGAGATCTGTCCTCATTTATCGCCGCTCAGCTGCTTTCCGGGCGACAATTATCGCACCTTCAAGCATTATTATCTGGTTAAATATGGTCTCACCATACAGAATGCGGCACAGCCGCTGCTCGACGTGGATCACACGAGTGCGCGTTTAAATTTTCTAACGCCACGTTACGTAAATCGTAAGGGCGTGGCACTGCCAACCAGTTCGGAGGAAACGAAGCGTGCCAAGCGGGAAAATCTTGAACAGAAGCAGATTCTAGTGCCTGAACTGTGCACAGTACATCCGTTTCCGGCGTCCCTATGGCGCACGGCAGTTTGCCTACCCTGTATCCTATACCGCATCAACGGTCTGCTGCTGGCAGACGATATTCGGAAACAGGTCTCTGCCGATCTTGGCCTGGGGCGACAACAGATTGACGATGAGCAATTTGAGTGGCCCATGCTAGACTTTGGCTGGAGCCTGTCAGAGGTGTTGAAAAAATCACGCGAATCTAAGCAAAAGCCGGACAGCATGGAGGCTATCAACAAAGCCGTTGATGATTCTGCGCAACAGACGGTGGCTGAGCCGAGCATTGAGAAGGCCACCAAGAGCGCTAATGAGCTAGTTATTGAAGGCGAAGAACAATTGGGCAATACGGATGACTTCATCGAGATTGGCACCTGGTCCAATGACATGGCTGATGACATTGCCAGTTACTCAGATGGCGATGAGGATGAGGAGGATGAGGACTTTCTGCCTGTGCTACCCGCGAATGTGAAGTTCTGTAAGTGTGCAAGATTATCTTATTCCGTCAACCGATTTACTTAGTATTGACTTCACTTGCAGGCGACCAACAGACGCGCTACGGCTCGCCCACTTTCTGGGATGTGAGCAAGAGCAGCGGATTTAATCAGTCAGCAGCGCCTGGACGGAAGCGAACAGGAAAGCCGAATGGTGGGTCTGGAATTGGCAATGCTGCAAAAGAAGAGGGAAAACCCAATTACGCCTTCTACGACTCGGACAACTCACTTAGCTCTAGCTATGATGATGAGGAGCATGTGGGACCGATTTACCAATACACCTCGGAAGATGATGATACGGATGACATCGTTGCCGGTCGCATTGAGTTCACCTCAAAGAACGAGGCGGAGACCATCGAAACAGCGCAAGAGATGGAAAAGCGCCAGAAGCAGCTGTCCATTATACAAGCCACCAATGCCAACGAACGCCAATACCAGCAGACAAAGAATCTTCTCATCGGCTACAATTTCGAGCAGGCAGAGCACAGAAGCAGTATCAACTACGAACAGTCCATTGTGCGCTTCAAATCAGAGATTGAGAGCTGCGGCATGTTGGTACCACACGGCGAAGAACTGGTGCTACAGCGCACTGAAGTTAGCGCAACGAAAGCTGACAAGGATGGGTCAACTTTGCAGCTGGAACTGCTAAAAGAGTTTTTGCCATACGTGCCGGAGGAGGAAATGCTGGCCAAGCTCGCCAGCAAACCGTCACTTCAGCTCTCCGACTTGGTTGAGCTAAACACAACGTGGCTGCAGCAGCACAAGCATGAAATTTACAACGTAATGGGCTGTGGCGATAGCTTTGATAACTACAACGATCACCACCGACTGAACTTAGACAATAAACAGCTTAGACTGGAGTATCAACAAGAGTTGGTAAGAAATTCGGATTGCACTGCACATCGAACTGCAAAGCAAATAACGGGCAGGCCTGAGGGCGCCTTCAGATTTGATCATCAGCCGGAGCTAGTGGGACATCCTGGACCAAGCCCTAGCATCATTTTGCAGGCTCTCACAATGTCCAATGCCAACGATGGCATCAATCTGGAGCGCCTGGAGACAATAGGTGATTCGTTCCTTAAATACGCCATCACCACATACCTGTACATCACCTATGAGAATGTGCACGAGGGCAAGCTAAGCCATCTGCGCTCCAAACAGGTGGCCAATCTCAATCTGTATCGGCTGGGGCGACGCAAGCGACTGGGCGAGTATATGATTGCCACAAAATTTGAGCCGCATGACAATTGGCTGCCGCCGTGCTACTATGTGCCCAAGGAGTTAGAGAAGGCGTTGATTGAGGCTAAAATACCAACGCAGCATTGGAAACTGGTCGATCTGCTGGATATCAAGAATTTAAGCAGCGTGCAAATCTGCGAGATGGTGCGTGAAAAGGCTGAGTCGTTGGGTCTGGCCGGCAACGTGGACCAACCCGCAGCTGCGCAACAGCTGGCACAGAACGCAAACCTAGACGACTCCAACGAGACGACCGATTTCAGTTGCTTCATTCCGTACAATCTGGTTTCGCAGCACAGCATACCAGACAAATCCATAGCCGATTGTGTGGAGGCGCTTATTGGCGCCTATCTAATCGAGTGTGGGCCGCGCGGAGCGCTACTCTTCATGGCTTGGCTGGGAGTCCGTGTGCTGCCCTACAAAGTGAAGCCAACAGCAGCAGCCATTGACCAACGTTTGCCAGGCAGCACCAAGCCAGATGCGAACAACATGATAACAGTATATGGGGATTGGCCAACGCCGCGCAGTCCGCTTCTGCATTTTGCACCCAATGCTAACGCCGAGCTGGAGCACTTGCTAAGTGGGTTTGAGGAGTTCGAGACCAACCTAGGCTATACATTTAGCGATCGTTCCTATTTACTGCAGGCCATGACGCATGCCAGTTACACGCCCAACCGTCTGACTGATTGCTATCAGCGTCTCGAATTTCTGGGCGATGCCGTATTGGACTATTTGATAACACGACATCTATATGAAGATCCACGCCAACACTCGCCAGGTGCTTTAACCGATCTGCGATCGGCGCTAGTGAATAATACGATATTCGCGTCATTGGCCGTGCGGCATGGCTTCCATAAGTATTTTCGCCATCTGTCACCTGGACTAAACGATGTCATCGATCGCTTTGTGCGCATTCAGCAGGAAAATGGACATAGCATAAGTGAAGAGGTAAGAAGTTTAACGGAGTCCACAACAGTCGTATATCACGATTATAGTTTCGGATATCGTTACAGTACTATTTGCTTTCTGAGGAGGAGTGCGATGATGCTGAGGATGTTGAGGTACCCAAGGCTTTAGGTGATGTATTCGAATCAATTGCCGGTGCCATTTTTCTCGACTCGAATATGTCGCTAGATGTGGTGTGGCAGGTCTATAGCAATATGATGAAGCCCGAGATCGAGCAATTTAGCAATTCTGTGCCAAAATCACCCATACGAGAGCTGCTCGAACTGGAACCGGAGACGGCCAAGTTCGGAAAGCCCGAGAAGTTGGCCGATGGTCGTCGCGTACGCGTCACTGTTGATGTCTTCTGCAAGGGCACATTCCGTGGCATTGGACGCAACTACCGGATAGCCAAATGTACAGCTGCCAAATGTGCACTGCGACAGCTGAAGAAGCAGGGCCTGATAGCCAAAAAAGACTAGAGATATGGCGCTGTGTTGTGAATAACTTTAGTTATAGGTACCCACAATGTACATATATACTGCATAAATGCTCCAATAATAATAATAATAATAATATTTTAAATAAAAAATGCTGCAAAATTGCAAAATCTTTTCTGTTTTTCAAACTATCTTGAGCAAACTCGGAAATTGCCATCTTCTCTACTATCCTACATAGATACAACCCCATTCTTACCTGCCATAAAAGCTTTTTTATAGAAATTCGTCTATAAATTGATTTAAACAATGGCGAGCCGAAGTTAAGATTTCATTCGTGGTTTTAATACCCTAGCAGTGGGTATTATATTTTGTCGTGAAATGTGTAACGCATATAAGGAGACATCTCCGACCCTATAAAGTATATATATTCGTGATCAGTATCAACAGCCGAGTCGATATAGCCATGTCCGTCTGCCTGTTTCTATGCGAACTAGTCTCTCAGTCTAAAAGCTATCTTTATGAAACTTTGCAGAAGTCCCTCTTTCTGTTGCACGAAGTACATATGTCGGAACCAGCTGGATCGGACCACTGCCATAGGAACGATCGATCGAAAATAGGTTCTTGTATGAAAAACATATTTGTTTATCAAGATATCTTGACCAAGCATTCCTCGTATATATGAAAAATTCTATCAACATCGGACCACTTTATCATATAGCTGCCATAGGAACGATCGGTCGAAAATTAAGTTAAGTTGTATGAAAATTTTTTTGTTATTCAAGATATCTTGACCATACTCGGCGTTAACTATTTTCACTGTTCATCTTAGATACGGGCAAAGCCCTATGAGCATTATGGAAAGGTTGGGTCTGCAAGGGTACTAAATCTTCGGCGTGCCGAAGATAGCCCTTCTTTCTCGTTTGTTAAACCCTTGTAGAGTGTATTATAATTTTGTCATGAAAAAGCTCATAAAGCATATATACTCTTGATCAGCATCAACTGCCCACTTGATACAGCCATGTCCGTCTGTCGGCACTTTTAAGTTACACTATGTTCCTTATATATTTGCAAAATGCTATTAACAATGCACCATGCTATCATATAGTTATTGAGTTATTGTTTGAAAAACCCTGAATGTAATCTGATTCATGGCGCGTTGAGGCCGTCAAACATGTTGTTAATGGATAACCGACGTGTCTTGAAAATTTCTGATTTTGCATCCGTACAGGCTACCACGAACACAAACATTGGAACCACTGTTCGCTGTACTGCACCAGAGGCTAGTATGCTTACCTTTCGGTAAAAATCTATTGACCCAACCTTTTCATTTGCAGGTGTGCGTTGGTATGGCTTATAAGTTTTACAGTGATGTTTACAGCCTTGCAGTTGTATTATGGGAAATGTTGTCGCGCCAAAAGCCTTACGAAAATATTTCGAATTCCTTAACAATCGTTCAACTCGTGCAATCAGGTATATACTTGTGTGTAAGCAAATGTTACTCCTGCCAATGACCATTGCTAATGCAGGGAACGACCAGCATTCGATAAGATCGAAATGGACTATCCCAATTGAAACACTAATGACCAACAGCTGGAAACCCGAGCCCGAGGATCGTCCAACCATAACACATTTTGTTGAAACCTGTACAAAATGTTTTGAGGAGCATGGAGTTGTTGCCGCCCAGATAAGTATTTAACTGGGGAAAAAATAGAAAACCTTGCCAACCAAGGCTGCAAACCGGTTGACTCTTGGATGTCCAATTCATTAACAATTAACCGAAACCTAAATCAGATTCGTTGGACCCTAAAACTAAACTAAACCATATTAATGTCATATTTGTTTGCTATTTGAAAATATTATTTCAAAATTTTTTGATATTGCCCTAACGATTGCTTCAGTACTCTAAAAATGATTCATGTAATTGATTAAATTTTTAGTAAAAATATGCAAATATAATTAATTTAATAAGTTTAATAGCTCTACTGAAAAATTGAACGAACTTAGATGAACTCAGGTTCCAACCCAAACATGGGTTCACAGTTTTGAAAAACCTTTTTTACGAACCGAACATTAAATGGTTATTTAGTTATTAATGTGAGCCGAAACACTGAAAATATTTGCTGGGCTGCGGTGGCTGCCATGTTGCCAAGAAAAATTAATGCCAAAGTCAAATCTTCATATTGGATGTAATTAAAGTTCCTTTAAATTAGTGGGTTATGTATTTTGTTGGTACACATTTGAATAGATTTTGATTATGGAATGAGAACTAAATCTAGTTTTCATAAACATATGCATGCATATTGGTAAACGATAATTAGTAATCGAAACAAACAAAAACTTTTGTTTACTTTCATTTGATGAGAACTGAACTTTTGGGCCAAAGTATTTACATTATAACCGAGTTAATCACATGAGTGGGTATAGCAAATTTGTAAGAGATATTCGACGTTCTTGATAACTGTCAATATTAGCAAATACATACATAAGTCATAATTATCATATAAGTATGTGGCTAAGTGAATATTATTGAATATACGATCACTGGCAATCAATTTGATACGTTCTCTTTTTGTTACTTGCCATATGTACTATTTTTATCAATGATTCATAAAAGTTGTAATGATTGAACATATATTGATTCGTATTTGTTTTTGATTTGTTAATAATGTGTGGAAAAACTAAAACGTTTTATTTTAGTTTCTATGTGTGTTTATGTTATTTAATAGCTAATTTTTGTTTTCATTCGCTTTGCAATAAAAAATTGTAACGTTTCTTAAAAGTTCACATTTGAGTATACTATATAATTGTTTCGTTAGTTACATATTTTGAATTTGTGTTTTTTAATAATAGTTGCATACGTTAACCTTACTTAATAATAGTTTAGTTAATTAAAATTGTTTGGTATAATTGTTAATTTCATACTCGTTATTAATTGTTCTGGTTTCTCTTTTCGCTTTTCCTTTTTCCTTTTTCACCGCACGTTCCTGCCTACGATTTGTTCAATGTCTTCTTTATATATGAATGTTAATGCACGTGTATTTATCTTTGTATTGTTGTAATTTACGTCTCGTTTAACTTTATTGCTGGCATTTGCTGCATTTTTGTTTAATTTTTACCTAAAACTGTTATTGTTTTTAATTGCTTTGTCAATTGTCGTTTTTGGAGAACGGAAACGAAATGCAACTAAAGAACGTTTGGAAAATTACGGTGAGCTTGTAATTATGATTGCGAATGATTATGACAATGATTAATGATAAAACACAGTTCGAAAGAGAAGGAAACTATGTTGAACAAGCCAAAAAGTTAAAGCAAATCCTAATAACTCATATCAAATTATAAATAGTTGTACATATTTGTATTTAACAAAAAATTCAATTGTATACTTTAACAAAAGTTGTCAGAAACGAGTTTATTATATTTGATATGTAAGTATAGCATAAAACACAATTCAAATGTACAATTATAAATTAAAATGTAAAAATAAATTAAGCTGCGGTTACAATTGTGCTCTAAAAAAACAAGCTGCCAAATTAATTGTGTTAAAAATATTGCATATACGATATTAACTTAAAAAAATATTTAAAGTGAACTGAGTGGTAGACGGGACGGTTTAAGTATTATACAAAAGGTGAGTGGCTAAAATACAAAAATATGTATATTCGAGTACATTGGGTATTTAGGGAGCACTGACACACAACACAATACAAGTGAAACAAACTCATTTTATATATATCAAAATTTAAAAAAAAAAATGGGCCTGGCAATGCCTTTTCAAACTGTTTACTTGAGGATAATTGTTGAACGAAAATAATTAAAGTTCACATACATTTTGTTTCGATGTAGTATTGTCGAAATATTTGTTTCGTTTTGGGAGTATGGATCGATTATAGTAAGGTTACATACATACATATCTGGAAGGATTACATGTGTAAACGACTATGAATTTCTATGATAATTTTCTAGGTATACGACTGGTATGTAGCTGAATAGTTTTTTTTTTTAAATATATGTTTTATATGAGTACATTTAGTACAATTTTGTTGTGCTTTCGTCACATTTATGCCAAAGAGCAGACTAAATATTACAATTTTGTAAAACTCGCTGACACAAATTGCAATTATACATATATCATTATGTTGTTATATAGGTAGGTAGGTAGATAGATTGGACACGATTTGGTGTATATATTTCTTTATATGTCAGATGCGGCGTATGTGTATGTGTGTTTTGGAAAATTACCTTTCAGTATGGGGAAACTTATGAAGAAAAAAAAAAGAAAATAAAAAAACAAGTCTTATTTAACTAACACCCAGTACTGTGGGGAGAAGAAAGTCAAGTCGTTCTGGTTTCATTTTTGGCTTAAATTGGTTGATGATGGACGTAATCAGAAGTCTAACTAAAGTTTTTGACGAAAATTACTATTTTGATCGAGTTCTTTGTTTTTGAGTCTTGAGTCAAATTGAAATTTGTATACGTCTGTGAGTGTCTCTGTGTGTGAGTGTGTGTGTATTGGTTGCTAGATGCTTATGTCTAAAGAACGACGTCAGGCAGGTCGTGCGGCCTTGCCTAGGCGCGCATTTGGTTTTCATGTACAATTTTTCTCTCCTTATAGTAGATCTCCTCAGATTCTTTGTCGCATAGCAACAGAACCACGGCGCCAAATAAGAAAATTGCTGCGCCCCAGCCAACGCCATAGGCCCAGCCAAACTCCCAAACGCGTCGATTCGCTGCAGGAAATACAAATTTGAAATTAACTTCATATCTTCCAGTAAGTGTACCTGCTTACCCATTGTGAGTTCGCCTGCAAAGCACACTGGATAGACAATCAGAGCGGACAGCACGGCCAATACTGTAATAGGAGGCAATCGTAACAATTATGAGTATTTAGTTAAATTAGGATTGGGTAAACAGTGTGACACCTACATGAAACGAGCATTACTAGCACTGCTATTCTATAAAATTTATATTTAAGATTATGATTCTGCGACTTAAGGCCCAGTCCAGTCAGCACTGTGGCTATGACGTCCGTTATCAATGTGATAATACAAAGCGCAGCGGTTGCCTTGATGTAGCCTACATATAATATAGTTGCTTAAAACATTGATTCGATCATGATATTGTTTACAGCTAAATACCAATATCGCGGGTCCAATAGCAGCCTGGTGGATCCTGTATATTGAATGGCAGCGGCGGCATTGAATCGTCCTCAATACAATGCACAAATAGACCCTGCCGCCAGCCAGCAGCCATTAGCCAATCCGTGGAGGCCAATGCCATAACCATCAATACCACCACTATGACTCCGCATATAAATGCAATCACCTGCGGATTTATATTTGGATTATTGAGCAGTGATCTCTGAGAGCAACAATACGCACCTTGAGGGGCCTTGTGATTGTAATAGTTTCAATTGTCGTTGTCGGCGCCATTTTGTCCGCTTCTGGACGTAGTACACTGTTGTTTTTAATAATAAAGTATAAAGGTATATATAATATATGTGTGTAGGTGTGTTAAATCTAATTAATTATGTACATGATGGACCAACTTACCTTATAAACTAATTAGGCAAAACGTCTGCCCACGCAAAATACTAAATTGGAATGCGTTTCAAATGCGATTTTTATTTGATTATGTTTTTTGGTTAGTTTGCTAATGGTGTATATAAGGGAGTAACGATAAACTCTGGCTTGGAATATATAACAAAATGATTCAATTGGCGTTTATTGCTTAATTCTTAGCGCACAGCGACTGCGGCAAATTGTTCAAATGCGTTTTCAATTCAAAATGCTGGCGGCAGCCTTTTCAACATCTGTGTGTTTGTTAAAACGGATTGCATGGAGGAGAAATAGAATTGGTAACATTTTCAATTAGTGCAGCTTGTAGCTGATAACACAATGAAAATAAATCAAAATAAAACAAAAGCCAAAAACATACATACAAGCGCATACAAATCAGCTGTGAAAACAAAATAGCAGCAGCTCATGCAAAAACAACATACACAAGCATCCAAGTATTGGGATTGGGGAAGGGGAAGGGGCTGATCAAAATTGTCCGAACCATCGAAATGCGATTGGAACTTGCCAAAGTCAGTGCCGATTCTTGCTACCCTACAATGAATTTATTTAATTCATTCCGCCTAAGGACATTAGACTTCAATGTTTGGGTTTCTTCCGGTGACAAAAGTTATAAAAAGTTCTTCTTTTATTAATGTAATTTAATAACAATTTTGATTAACCAAATTTTGAGTTAATTATTAAGTCAATTTTCCGCTAACATATCTGTATTAAAATAAACCCATGGTATATTTGACGACTAAATACTTTAGATAGCCATATATTTCTAATTATTTAGTTTTTGTCAATATATAAACTTTTTCGTTCAGAGATCACTTTACAGTTTTCAATATAAAATACGGTGCATAAACTCGATTACAGATTATTGCATATTATAAAAAGTTATTTATTAAAAATTAATAATAATAATGACTTATCGTTTTAAATGACTCTTTTTGGAGATTTGAATTCTTATATATGCAGACAATATTACTCATATAAAATAGGTTGGATTTTCCTTTGGGTTTTCTTTTCATTGACAATGCACAGCTGCCAAATGGGTGGAAAACCTCCGACATTACAGTTATAATCTTGACTGCGTCGATGACAACAAAGGGAAACCAAATAAAACCAAGTGAGGCAGGTCCTCAGATAAAGAGGCGGTTCGTGGAAGCAGCCGTAAAACTGCAAGCAACTCGATGCACATTGCATTAATTATGCAAAAGGAAATGACAAGAAAGCGTACTGGAAAAGTTTCAACTAACAAACCGTGCTCTTGGGCAGACAATCGGAATGAACTGGAAACCGTGTGTGTTCGCTCAAAAGAGATTTTACTGTACACATATGTTTACGTCCGTGTCATGTGTACAGAAACAACAGACATTTAAGGAAATGCTATGGTATAGACAGGAGGGGGTGTGGATGGGGTGGCAACTGTGAGCGGGCGGTAGTTGTACTGTACTAGACAAAGAAATATTTGGCCAAAGAAATATTTTGCGATTCTGTTGCACAGACGGGGGCCAGACAGAGGCGATGTCTGCTCTATTTTTAGCCGAACATTGAGAGAATCAAAATATTTGCATATACAAGAGCATTGCTGAGCATGTGCGTTGGACATGGCAACAGGATCGACATGTAATGAGTATTAAAATGACAACGAAAAAAATAAAACACACAAGCAAACGAAACTGGGACAGCACAAAAATCGACAATAACAACAACTATTGCGGCGAGATTAAGGGTGGAACGGAACCAAAACAAAAATGCAGAAAAAATACGGGTTGTCGTTGTTGTTGTGTTTGTTATTATTGACACCATTGTTGATGTTGTCGTCGTTGTCGTTTGCTAAATACCTTTCCTTGTAATAGTCCAAAGTAACCGATTCGGAATCAAATTCTGAGTAATCAGGCAGCGATTCGGCATCAAAGGAGCTCATTCCGCTCAATGTGTAATTGGGTATGACGTTCATTTGATTGCCATAGATGCTAATGTTGCTATGTTGCTGTTGTTGTTGTGCGTGTTGCTTTTCCGTTTTTGATATTTCCGACATTTTGCTATTGTTAAATAACGTTACAATATCTATACAATCACACACACACACACTCGCACGCACACAGTCGGTTTTTGGAAAATTTTATTTCTGACACAGATATGGGAAAATAATGCACTGCTATTTTCTCTATTCTGTTTTCCCAGCTTTTCACTTTCGTCTGCTGCGAAAATATGGCGTTATCGCTGAGGAAGCAACTCTCACTTACGCGTTTTGCTTTGTGGGAAGCGCTCAGCTATTGCATTTTACATTTTCATCAATTTTTTACGTGTATTTTTTTATATTAAACATAAACAAAATAATAAAAATAATTATTTGCAGAGGGGTTGACAATCACTAAGATGTTTGTACAGCCCGTTTAGTATTTTTTAGGTCGTCATTGATTCTAGCCAGGTGGCAAGGTGCCACAAGCTGTGCGATAGTCACGAGTAGATCGATATTAATTCGATAAGCGGACGATACTTGTGTTGCTTACATCTCTACATCGGCGTCGCGTTTGTTGTTCTCTTTATTTAGTTCGTTCGGTCGGAAAACTACGTTTAAATCTGAGTTTATAAACGAAATCCAAGCGAAAAACACCACAAAAACAGTGCCTACTGTGGTGCATTGCCTCACGCCCAGGTGGCCAACTATTATTTTGCTTGCAAAATACCTAGAGGCAGGCCTTCTTGACATGGCAACTGACACTGTGCCCAACACTGAAAACTTTAATATCGCCAACGGTGAGGAAGATGTTATATGCCCTAGCTGCGATGCGAAAATTAAACGCAGCCAGGTTGCCGATCACTGCCAGATTGAAATGGAGCGTTTGCACGGCATGCAGCTGCGTTCAACACAGACGGCTGCGGCCACTCCTGCTCATGCTTCTACCACAACAACAGCTCAAACGCAGTCAGCTGCTGCCGCTGCTGAGGGGGGCGGCCAGCGCAAGCCGTGGAGTGTGTTCCAGCGTGTGCAACGCAACCGTCAAGCACGGCAGCGACAACGCACACGCAAACGACCCACAACACCGCCACCAGCACCTGCGCCACCGCCAGTAACAGTTGCTGCTGCTGCGCCTAGCCAAGCCGCTGAAACCACCTGCAGCTGTCCCGTGTGCAACAGAAACTTCCCACAGGTTGAGATACAGGAGCATGTTAACCAGTGCCTGCGCTCCAATGGACGCAACGGTGAACGGCATTCCAGCGATGATGATGACGACAGCGATGAATACGAGGAATACGAGTGGGCGGGACAGAAGCGCATCCGCGTATCGACGCTCGTCCAGGGCGGCTATAGGGCGCTGAATCTGGGACAGACCATCAAGTACAATGGTGGGCAGCAGGCAGCCAACGATGATGAGGACGATGTCAATGTGGATGAGGATGACACGCACATCTATGGACCGACACAATATGGCGAAGCAGACGTAATACCGCTGGACAATGAAGATGGCACTGGAGAGGGGGTTTCCGAGACGGACGTTACCAGCTATGTGCGAAGGCTGATATCATCCAATGAGACTCCCAAAACCAGCATCAGCGTCAATAATGCCCGCGAATTGACTGAAGAAATAAATGAGGCGGCCAGCCAGGCACCGTCCACATCTGGACAGCAACCCGCTCCAGCGGCATCCACTTCGCGTAGCAGCAGCAGTGGCACATCGGCGCAGATCATCGAATCCTTGAAGGCACGTCTGCGTCTCTACGAGAAACAGGCGCAGAGCAAGCTCAAGTGTTTGATTTGCATTGACGATTATAAAAATCCCGCCATCTCAGTGTCCTGCTGGCATGTTCACTGTGAGCAGTGCTGGCTGCAAACGTTGGGCGCGCGCAAGCTTTGTCCGCAATGTAATTCCATAACCACGCCAAAAGATTTGAGACGCATTTACCTATAAATGGGATTCTAGTTGTATACTCTGCCAACAACTATGATGATTTGTTATAATGTTTGCAAAGTAGCTTATTATAAACATATTGAATTTAGTTTTATTTCACAAATTATATTATTTATACAGATAACAAGGAATACAGCTATGATTATCATACGTGACATAACAATAAGCATTATGTAACTTAAAATAAACAATTACAGCATTATTCTTAAATATGTTTTGAGTTTGCAAGTGTTTCCTGGAAGTCTTTTAAAATGACAGCTAAACGCGCGCCAATACAACTATTGTCATCGATTATTCTCTAATAGCATCGAGTGGTATTAAATATATCGAAAAAAAATATATATTTAAAAAAAAAATATCGTCGAAACGATGTTAATATCGATGATAGTCAGTATCGGAAACGATTGTCACTTGCCAAACATAGTGAAAACTTGAAAAGTTGCTTTTTTGTGTCTCCCGTGGACTTTTTTTTTCCAGGGATTACTAATTCGCAAGAAAAAAACGCGCGGTTAAGTGTGTGCCATTTTGTAGGTGGTTCGCATCGTGAAATTCTTTAGTGGACACAACCCAACGCTAAAACGCTTGCGTTAGTGGGGATCGGTCGCCTCCACCTTCGCCACCGCCGCCGCCGCTGCTGGGAACCTAGCACAGGTCCAGTTTGAACATATATATATATAAATATATATATATATACATATGTATGTAGATATTGCAAGTTGCATACGTATGTGGCGCGTGTATTATGTCATTTATTTATAATAAATAGCATAAAAGTTGACAATATGCAAACAAATTCCCGCTGAGTGTTGCACCAAAGAGTGAGAAATATAAACACGTAAAAATGTAGACTGTGTGTACGTGCGTGTTTGTGTGTGTGTGCGTGCGTGCGTGCGTGTATGCCGCAGATAATGGATGTTTAGCAGTATAAATAAATACATAGCTATAGAAAGATATATAAATATATGTATATACGCACGCATATGTGTGCGTATATGTGAAATATATGCGCCGCGGAAGCCGTCGGCGATGGCAACATTAGCGTCAGCCCAGGCTCAAGCCCAGTAGCAATAATATAGTGTTTCTCCCAATTTAACAAACACGTCCAATAATAACAACAACAACAACCACAACAAATGGCCACATTTAATGCAACAAATGCAACAAGCAACAGCAGCGCGGATGTTTTAAGTTCCTCGGTTGGCGCTGCCGCCGCAGCGACAACAACATTTCTAATGCCCTCCACAACGTCGGCAGGTGGTGCAGCCGCAACAGTGGGCACTCTTGGTGCGCATCCAATGCATTTGGAACCGTTTGGTGCTATGCCCGCACACGCCGCGCAATATATGAGCTCTGGTGCTGCACAGTTGCCGTTGCCGCTGCCATTACCACTGCAGCATCATCATCACCATCAGCAGACCAACTCCTCCTCGTATACGTTTGTGCAGATTAAACGTGAGCCCTGTCAGGTGTCTGAGATAAGCTCCAACAATTGCCAACAGCAGCATCAGCAGCAGCAACACCACCACCAGCAACAGCATCACCTGCAGACGGCCTCCACCTCCCTCGGCCTGGGCAGCGTTACCTCATCGTCAGTAACGGCATCAGCAACATCAAAGACCATGTCTGCATCGTCGCTCACGACGTTGGTCAAAATTGAAGCCTCCTCGCCGAAGGTATCCGATCTGGAAAAGTCCACGTCCAGCACAAGTATGTTATGAACTTATTCAAGAGCAAGCCAAACCATTTGATTATTATCATAATTGTTATTTTCATTTATCCACAGACAACTCCGTGCCCATTGGCATTGCTGTGGCGCGAAAACGTCCGCAGGAGTCAACCAGCGCTGCGCTGAACAGCGGCTCCACTCTGCCGTTGCAACAGCCACTCAACAAAGACATGAACTGTTTCGGCATACGTGTCGCCGATCTGAGTAAGTTTACCTAATCCCAATTTTGGACTTTGATGTTCTACATATGATATTATGCGGTTATGGCACTTATCAGTTTCATGTGTGTCACTCGCTATAAAGAGATAACGAAATAAAGAAAACCCCGGAAAACCCAGTAGAGCTGACAACTAAAATAATAAGAATAATATACGGATTTGTTTATTTTGCGGTTATTTATACTCTCACGAAATTAAAACTAACAAGAAATCGTAGTTATCTTCGAACTGGCGACGCTGTAATACCCTAACAAAGATCAATATTTGTATACCCCCTGGTGGTATTATATTAATTTCAATAATACTTCTACTATGGGATCGACAATTCTACATCCATACCTGAGATTCGAACCCGAATTTAGTGTAGATGTTTTTAGAACAATACAAATTATTGTTATTTTTTGGCCCACAGTTTGTTTTATAAAATTACTAGCAGCATTAAAATAAGAGCGGGTTGTTTATATGTTAGGAATTTACTGGTTCTATAAACAGCAGACCTTGTTATCGATTCCAGGCGTGCACCTTGCCACTTTGACAAAGCCGCCTTAACTTGTTGAGAATTGTAAAGAGTCAATCAAGAAAAAAGAGCAAAACCACAGTTCATATTGTGTGTATTTTAATCTGCTGTCATTTTTTAATAAGTCTGAACTTTTCTATCAAAAACTACAAGTTACGGATTGTACCAAAGTATGATATATTAGATATTTATTAATTTGTAGTAAAATAATCTAGTCTCAGCTGTTTCGAGCTTCTAATTGAATTGGATAGCGCAGATTTTTGCCACTAATGAACGCTTGGCTAAGCCACTCGTTTGTCCCCTGGGGCATCGTTACCGGCATAATTATGCGGCTCGGACGTGGAGCGTGTGACTCGATGCGACTGGAAAGGCAATGTGAACGGCGCTCAGTTATGGCACTAATAGGATTTCGACAAACATTTCAAAATTCCGTCAGTGAGTTGGGGGTAGAAAGAGCTGTGCCTGACGTAAATACCACCCTAAAAAAAGATTGAAAGGGCAAAAATCATATGATGAGCCTGCAAATGCGGACGGGGTGGCGGATGTGGATTGTGTGGATGTCTTTGTTGTGACAGCCCTCTGACTTGTGCTCGCAGCCCGAGGCGATGGCCTGCTGAAAGAAGCGGGCGAGTGGTGTAAAAAGAAAAACCACTTATTGAAAACTTCTAAAGAGGAAATAAATGAAATAGTCGAGCGTAGAATGCGTAGATCTAGTCGGATTACTCATAGGTAGTTTTTTGTTGTTCCTTCTTATTTTCTCTATTGTGGGTGGTTGCTGCTCAAAATGTTGTTCACATCTTTTGGGTGGCTGCAGGCGCGCTTTAACTGCGGGTCGCGTTGTTCTTGCAAGTCCACCAATCTGGAAGGTGGTGCGTTGGCAGCAGTGCACAAATGAGGGAGCAGCGAAGAGGGTGCTGGATAAGTAGCAGCAACAAGGGATGCTCACGCTGAGCATTCCTATCAAGCAGGACCAACGCTAAGGCAATATGATACGCGTAAGTGGTTTGGGTATGTGACCATATGGTAAAGTCGCCCTCAGCGGCTGTGCGGATTCTATTTTTATATACATATACACAGCATATACGTACTATATATATTATAGTGGGTAGTTGTCAAAAAAAAAAAAAACAAAAAAAAAATGTGTGGCACTAATTGCATATTGAGGCAGCTCCGCTTTTCCTTTTACTATTTGTTGGGCCGAACATCAATCTGAGGTCCTTAATAGCCCCTTAATGTAATGCAATTAGTGTGTCGTGTACGCTTTAATCGAATTTCTGTAAAATTATTCAGCCGTTGGCTAAGGGATGATGGTTCAGTGGCTTGCTGGCCCGATAGGCTGGTGGGTTGTGTCAGATAGTGGGTGTGTGAGGTAGGTGGCTCGCCAAATGCATAGTTCAAGGACATTGCAATATTTAACGTATACACACACAGCTTTCTCTCAACCACACATACACACGAAAGTGGCCTGTAAAGCTGTTGTGGTGCAATACAAAAAGTTTATTAAATAATTGAACGCTGAGCTGTTAAGTTGAAAACTTTTTTGTCGCTCGTTGGTTTCTTTGAAACCTAAAATTATATTTAAAATATTATTCTGATCCGGTGTTTGTGCATTCATACGAACTTTCACTGCAGGCGCCACCAGTTGCGGCAATCTGTATTTCACGGGAAACGGTGATTTGATGACCACGGGCACGGCCACCGCCGAGGAACTGGCTCTGAGCGCCGCTGGTGTCAACAGGGCGCCCTCCACCTTCTGGCAATATCCAAGTGAGTTCTTTCTAGAATTTCTTCTCTTTTTTTTTTATAACTTTAGTAGTTAGCCCCCAACCCCACGCCGCCTGTGACTGTACACAACTCGCACCCCCTCTATATTTCTTTATTTATTTATTGCATTTCTGTTGTTTTTTTGCGTTTGTAGATGCATTGCCCATTGAATCAGTGATTTCCATGTCGCCCGCCACGGTGGGCTTGCAATACTCACGCGAAGCAAGTCGCGGTCAGGTGGTGCTGCTACCCGCCGCCCCAGCAGCGCTTGGTAAGTCTCTCTTTTCATCGTCTAAGTAACATCTGCCTGCCGCACAGATATATATTTATATACATATATATTTATATATAGAGTGCATAGATATTGTTAACATTTAGCTATTTTTCTATATACGCATTCATGACTCACAACAAGCGACGCTTGTGTCATTTGCCACTAATGCTTGTATCGTCGCATCCTAGCTAGGTTAACTTGATTTCGAGATAAAACTAATTCATGCTTTTATAACTCCGCTTTTCTTCCCCACCCCACCCCCAACAACAACAATTCTAAATCCATAAAAAAAAAACTGAAATAAAAATAAAAAAAAAACGAAACTCGACTATGCACAGCAGGCATATCAAATTTTCCCCTCTTAACGCCCACAGATCCGTTCCAGCAGGCGGCGGCAGCGGCCTTTGTCTGGCCGTCAGCTTATATACCGCAGGCAACAGCCGGTGCCGGGCCAGCCACCGCAGCCGCTGCGCTGCAGCCGTCACCCAACTTTATCTTCCCCTCGATGGGCGCCCACTCCACCTTGGGCGCAACATCTCCGTATGCCTCCACGCTGCAGTTGTACTTGGCTGCAACGGCCAGCGCCACGGGCAACTCGACTCTGTGCCAGCACAGTAATCAGCAGACCAGCAGCACCACCACAACCAATTCGACGATTAACCTGAGCCTGGCTGCCGCCGGCGCTGGTGTCACGAGCAGCAGCAGTAGCCTGAGCTCCACTAGCAGCTCGCGATTTCTTAGCCTGGCAGCTCAGCCATCGGCGATGGCAGCCAAGCCATTGACCATGAGCTCGTTATTGATGCCGCCAACCGGCTTAAAGCTGGAGGAGTACCCTGTGGCGCAGCCGTTGCCATTGCCGGAAGCGGCACGCGACAACGAGCAACAGGCACTGAATCTAATGCGCCTGCCTACGCCGCCTACTTCGGCGACCATGGAGCCCTCGGCAACGCCGTTGGGCCAGCCATTGTCGCATCAAATACTCTTCCAAACAGCGCCAAGTACGCCGACACCGGCGCTCCTTAATCTGTCTATGCATGGTGCAAGTGCAACTTCTGCTGGCATTGCTGCTGACACGCCCACGTCCTGTGATGAGGCTGCGCTCAACTATAAGTTACACGCGCCACTAACGCCGCAAACACCACCTCGTCTGGGCGCCGCCACGTTGCTGCCACAGATGCAAGACGTCAACATACAGACAGATACGCCCGTGTGCAGCGAGGATGAGAATTCCTCGTGTCCTCTCAAACCGACGCAGGAGCTGTGCGAATCACAAATGCCGCTCGAGCTGACCAAACCCAGTGAATCCAGCAATGCCCATACACACGTCAATCAACCAAACGAGTGCCATACCCAAACGTATCCCAGTGACATTGTCAGTGCCAGTGTGAATGCCAGCGAGCAGATTGACGCGCCCATGGAGGAGTTGCCTGCGCAACAGCAGACGGCGCCGGAGGATCTGACCGGGCTGCTGTTGCTGTCAAACATCAGCACCAATAGCACGCCCCTGTTGCGCGTCAAACAGGAGCCAGTGGAGCACAATGAAGCCGTGCAAGTTCTCCCAGTAGAGCCGACGCCGATGCAACCATTGATGGAAGTGGAGAGAACGCAGTCAGAGCCGCTGGGCGGCTTGAAGCTTTTGTGCGCCTTAGCAGAGCAGCGCATACAGGAGGAGGTGGTGCAGGGTAGCAGTCTGTTTGCCACGCCCACATCGCGCACACCTTCACCTCGAGTGGCTACACCAGTCATCGAAGCGAACAACTCGTTTGGCTGTGTACCGCCAGCTTCGGCGTCGGGTTTTTGCCACGCACAACAAATGTCGCATACCTCACCAACGTTTCCCTCAATGCAGGGCATTGAGTTGCCAACCACGTCCAGCGCTGCGGCAGCCGCCAGTGAACCAACGCCCGCCAAACGCAAGAAGCACAAACATTCCAAGTCGAATTCTGTGTCCGGGGAGAGCCGCAAATCCTCGCGCTGCAGCAAGAAGAGCAAAAAGAAGCGCCGCCACAGCATTAGTCGACAGCAACAACAGCAGCAACAGCCGCTGCTGGCCGAGGACGATGTTCAGCTGCAGGATGAGGAGTTGCAATCGCAGCTGCGCAGCGCTCTGTCCGCCATGGACCCCAGTTATGCGCAGCGCTTTGGCCAAGAAGTCTTCAGCATTATGGACAATAGCATGCGTTTGCGTCTGGCGGACATAACACGGCAATATCGTAAAAAGAAGCGCAAGCTCGACGAGATTTCCAAGCACAAGAAAAAGAAGAAGTGCTCCAAGCAGCTGCTGCAACAACAACAACAGCAGCAGCAGCAGCAGCAGCAACAACAACAACAACAACAACAACAACAACAACAACAACAACAACAACAGCAACAGCCGCTACCAATTCAACAGCCTCTGCATCAGCCGCAGCTGACGCTCGGCTCAACTCTCTCTAGCGTCCTGGGGTAAGTGGCTGCATTTCCTTTGAGTTGGAAGCTTAGAAGGTGCAATCTAGGGGAGATGCCATAACCAATACCAAATGGTATTTTTAAAATGCATAAATGTTAGATAATGAATCAAGCTAGACGATAAACCATGATCTCAAATAAAATAGTTTAAAATGTAAAAGTTTCGCGCAAATAAGCAGGCATCGGCAATAGAAGTCATCTGCGACCCCATAAAGCATATACATATATATATTACATACACGATGATCTAATCCGCCTGTCCGTATGTATAAACGTGTCTATCTCAGAACCAACAGAAGCTAATGACTTGAAATTTTGAGCGTATATCGAAGCTAATAAGAGCTAGAGACACCAAATTTGGTATGAATAAGTTACAAGGAGCTTAAATGTTAAAAGGGAGGCATTTACTAGGGGTTCGGCAATTTCGCTAATATATTTACCACTTTTAAAATATGCTATTCTATTCTTTTAATTTTTAGCACTTCTTCACCGCTGCGAGATTATAAATATCCGAAATTTTCAAGCGGCAACCTACAGGCGTCCAGCTTTTTGCGTTTCCCAGAGAAGACGCACTCGTTTCCACCGCCCCCGCCGTTGTTGCAGCAACCACAGGCGGAGCCTAGTACCTTGCCGATCAGCAGCTCGCCAGGCACATCGTCGTTTGTGCGTCTGGAGCCCAGTGCTCTAGATGCAGCCGCCGCCGCTGCTCCTATTACCTCGTCCAGTTCTTCCAGCTCCTCGCACAAACATTCGCACACGGGCAGCACAAAGTCAGCGGCGCGCAAGGAGCGCAAGCTGAAAACGAGCGCAGTCGACGCTAATTTGGCAACGGAGGCAAAGAGGCGACTCAGTGCCGTAGATGCCGAGCTCCAATTGACCAGTGATCATTTGTACCGCGATGAGACGCGTGTGCTAACTGACATGGGTGGCCTGTTCTATGCGGGGGTCATGAAACCGCTACGTCCGCCAGATGTTTATGCCATAACCCTAGATGGCGAGCGCGGCAACAAGTCGCATGTCATGTCACGCGAGGACATACTTAAAGATACGGTGAGTCGTAAGCAGCCTGTGGTAACCATCTCGGCTAATCTATATCTTTGCTCTCGCACAGATTCTCGAAGTGGCACCCAAGAGCGTTGATAGTGTGCCAGTTGGTACGCGGCTATGCGCCTACTGGAGCCAACAATATCGTTGCCTCTATCCAGGTCGTGCCATCGAATCGGAGCCCACTGAAGATGCAGTTCCGTCGACAGCGACAGCGGTGTCAACGACGCCACAAGACTTTGTCAGCGTGGAGTTTGATGACGGCGACAGCGGCAGGATCCGCTTGAAAAACATTCGTCTGCTACTAAGCAATTATCCCATTGCCGGTGCGTTGTGCGGGAAGCAATCACCTATTTATATTTTCTTTTGGGGAATAAAGCCAAAAATCGTAAGATTTGATTAACCTGTGAATGTAATCGAGCCAGGACAAGACCTCCAAGAGTATACGTGCGATGGGTAACAATTTTGAAAAGTTTAAAAGCTAATACTTACGATTATGGTTTTATTCCTCATCAACTGTCCTGTTTTGTGACTTCTTTATTTACGGCTGTTGTTTTCGTTTTCCCCTTGATTCGTTTATGCCCCCGTTCCCGCCTCGTCCATGATACAGAGTACAACGATAATCCCCTTTACTCTGTAGGCAAACAGAAGCGTGGCGCCATGCGCAGTTGTGACAGTGGCGCTGGTTCCTCACAGGAGCATACGGGCGTGCCGAGTGGCGAGGAATCGCACAGCCATCATGGTTTCAGCATGAGCAGCGATAACACAACCTCGCTGGCTGCCACCATGGAGCTGTTCACGCAGCGCAGCGAAAAGAAACGCCTCAAGAAGAGCCTGAAGAAGTTGACGAAGGCTCAGAATGGCATTGGCCAGTCTGTTGAGTTGAACGGCTTCCAAAATGGCGGCGCTGATGGGGTTGCGGCCGGGGATGGCGCCAGCATGGATGATGGCAGCCGGAAGCACCATAAGCACAAGAAGCGTAAAAAGCATAAGAAGCATCATCGCAAAAACGCCAACGAAGAGGCTGAACCAGTGCAGGATTATATGACGACAGTTCAGGAGCTGCAATCAACAATTTTATCAGTAGCAGAAGAACCTGAACCTGTTGCGCCGCCAGCGCAACGTGTTAAGGTAGAGGTTAAAGTAAAGGCGGAGCAGCTGGACATTGAGGAAGAGACAACGTCCAACCTAATGTCCGAGGTATCCGATGAGGTAAAGTCTAAAGTGATGTGGGAATTTGAAATCTCTTCGAATATCTAAACTCCTTTTCACGGTCTAGGTCAAGGGCGATGATCTGGTTGAGCACAACAACTCCAAGGGCAGCAGCAAAATTGCCGCCTTTTTGCCAGAGCGGCAATTGTGGGGTTGGTTTGGAACCGCTTATCGCAAGGCGGGCGTCAAGGGGCGCGCCAGAAAGCAATTCTACAAAACAATCAAAAGGGGAAAGGAGACTATAACGGTAACTGTCACCTTCATCAAATTATAAGTTGCTGGGCATTAATTATTGCATTTTATTGTAGGTCGGGGACTGTGCAGTATTTCTATCCACAGGCAGACCGGATCGCCCCTACATCGGGCGCATCGAGTCTATGTGGGAGACGACCGCTGGCAACAGAGTGGTGCGTGTGGCGTGGTTCTATCATCCGGAGGAAACCACGGGCTGTCCAAAATTGAAATATCCAGTAAGCTAGACTCTAAGTTCGGAACCTGGCGTTAATACTCATATTTGTTCAAATATATCTTTATCTTTAC